GCCGTGGGCCTAAGAGGCCAGGGTTGGGGTTCGGGTGAGGTGAGTTCCAGGTGGTATTTCTGTCATGGGTTTGTCGTTGCCTAGAGCCGTTTTAACGTCCACTACCCTGATTTCCGCTACCACGTCCTTGCCCACATCCAAAACCTCCGCGCTATCCCGGGTTGCCATCACCATAGCTGCTACCGCCGTGCTTTCCACCATAGCCGCTGCCGCCGTGTGTCCCGCCGTGGAGTTGACCGCCGGCTCGGGTGGTGAGCAGGGCCGTGCTGCCAGGGTCAAAAGAATTTGACCGTTGGCGATCCAAAAGCGTGAGAGTCGATCGAACCTGAAGAAAATTTGGCATAGGATCCTGAAACAGCATGAACGAGGTTTGGGGCTGAAGAGCTGTGGGAAGCCCTTAGAGCATCTGAAGGACCACTTGGTGTTGAGAGACCGGTGCATCGACATCGTCCAACCAGTCGGCCAGATTTTGGAGTTGTTGGCAATAGGCCGCCATGGAGGTGGAGCCCTTGACGGTGGTGCGGAATTCATGCTCCAACTGCATGGCCCGGGCATGTTTGTTGTCGTGAAATAGGTCGTGGATGCCCTTCCAGAGGGCTAAGGCGGTGGTGAGAGAAGAGAGGACCAGATCTGAGACTTCATCGGTGATGGTGGAGAAGGGCATCGAGTTGGCACCATTCGTCATCGTCGTCGGAGAGGGGGATGACGGATCCATCAAGGTATCCCTAAAGGTTAAATCGCCGCGCTCATTAATAAATCTCAAAAATCATACTTTAAATAAATATGTTCAAGCATAATTAAGAGATGTATTAAGCAATGTTTAAACCAAGAACTCGTGTTTAAACAAGAATGTGTTTTCATCAAAACAAAATAATGTTTTCAATACTTCCCCCTGTTTTGATTAAGAGAGCCTTCACTTCTTCTTGCGCTTGGATGATCCGGAAACCTCACCAATGCCTTGCAAAACTCCACACTCTTCCTGGATGCGCTTGAGGTTGTTATATCTATCTTCTGTCTGGTCATCATTTGTGAAGTGGGAGGCAATGGTTCCTACAGCTTCTGTTCCATCAAACTCAGTGTTTGATAGATGCTGGATTGAGTTCTCCGGATTGCTCTGCTGGGCTTCAAGTATCAGCTCCGTCATGTTCAGATGTGATGGAATGTATGAGAGTTCTCCTTGTATAACTTCAATCGGAAACTTTGGAATTTGAGATGGACTTCTAGGTTGGACAATCACTTCCAGCTTGAGTTTCCCAGTGTAGGTGCCAAAGTGCCTGAAGAGCCGGAATGCTTCTTTCTGATTGTCAGCAAGAACCTTTAGGTAATCTTGAGTTACCACTTGGTTTGCTGATGACACTGCCAAGGCTGATCTGATATCCATCTCGAGGAGTGACATCTGCTTCTGAAGGTTGACTGTGACTCTGGAAATATGCTGCTTGATTGCAGTGGCTTCTTTGAATTGAAGGTGGCAGTCAGATGCATAAGCCATCATTGTATTTCTCACAGACTTACTTAATAGAGAAATAATCTTTAGAGTTTTGTCTACAGATTTGCTTATCTCGTTGAGATTTGAGCAATACTTTTCTTCAGATTTTTCCAACATTTGGTTGTGCCTTGTTTCCATCTATTCTATCTCTTGCCTAAAAGAGGCATGTTGAGACTTCAGGGTTGGTTCAATCAACCCTTGGACCTTCCTTGTCCAGGTTTCCGGTATATCATTCGAAGGTGTGGTTGCTGAAAAGCTGTGAAAGTGAAAATTTGTTACCTGATTTGAAGAAGGTACTCTATGGAAGAGTTGTAGAGGGAGAGATTTAGCATCATCTCCTTGCTAAGCTTCATCTTCATCAATCTTCAGGGTCTTCACTAACTCTTCCTCTGTTTCTTCATTTCCATAATTTGAGATTTCCCTAGAGAGGGAATCTCTGACTTAATCTCCAGCTAGTTGCTCAAAGATAGCTACTGGAGGTTCAGAGGCCTCCAGCCTAGCTATTTGAGCTCCTTCTTCAGCTTCTTCAAAGCTTCTTTGGACTTCAACTGCTTGTTCTTCATGAGCTTCTTCCTCTGTAGTTTCTGGAAGAGGTGACTTTTCCAGATTCTCTGTTGACTTCTCCGGAATTTCAGGTTCAGTTGGTTTGGAGATCTCACAAGGGGGGGTTGTGAGGATCTCTTGAACTTGTGATTGGAGGAATTGTTGAAGTTCTTCTTCTGAAGTTTCCTGATTCTGTTCTTGCTGGGGAGAGGCTGCATTTTCCTGGACAGTTTCAGGTAGAACAGTTTCAAAAGCAGGGGAGGTTTCCGGAAAAACTTGGAAATCCTCTGATGTGGTTTCCATCTCAGCCTGTGCTTCAGTGGTAAGGACAGTCTGATCTTCAGTTGGCTTTGAGAGGATTGGTTTGTAGACTGCTGGGTCCTCATCATCAGCTTCAAACTTTGAAGTTGAAGAGGTGGCCAAGTATTCCAAATGCAGATCTTCATAGGTTTTTAGCTGCCAGACCCATTCATCATCCAGAATTTGCTCACAACAGTAGTTGATTGGCAGTCCCAAACATCCCTTGATGATCTTCTCATTCTTCAGTTGTTGATCCCATTCAAGCAACTGATCTGCAGAGTTTCCAACCTTCCAAGCTCTCCAATCATAGTAGAGCTGCATGAATTTGCTCACTTCATCATGAGTTTGAGCTTGTGATGGAGGAGATGGAAGACCCTGGTCTTGAGGAGTGTCAGACTGTTGATGATTCTGTTCATGTGCAGAAACCTCCTCAATTGGTTCATTTTGCATCAAGTTATCCGGATTGGCATTTCTAGATGTAGAGGGAAAAGAGATTCTTCTTTTCTTCTTCTTCTGAAGTTCTCCATGATCAAAGACTTCATCTTCTTCATCTAAATTGACTACTGCCAGTGTGTGGTTCCTCATGGCTGGGGGAGGGAGAAACCACTCGCTTCCTTTTTGAGGACTTCTTCTGACTGACAATCAAAACATTGTCTGAAGAACCTTCATCTTCTGCAGTTGAACTAGCTCTGTTTTCTCCTTTAAAGACAGATAGTAGAGCCAATATCTGGCATCATACTTTTTGCCTTCAGAAGCAACACCCAAGGATTCAAAAATGTACCTAAGTTACAATCCTTGACAGAGATATTTCTGCTTGGGCTTCCCTAAATGCTTTGAAACAGAGTTGAAGAAGTGTTTAGCCCAATTTACCTTGGTTCTGGTAATGAGGGCGTTGATGATGAATGCCCTTTCTTGAGTTATGTCATCTGTATGTCCTCCACTGCCACATTCCAAGACCAGTTTGTAAGCGTTAAAATATTGATGTTTTTTTATTTTATCGTGTATATTAATATATACAAAAAATTGTCTTATTCATATTAAAAATTTGAAGAAAAAATAATAATGAGTGTGAATCATTAAAATAGTGAGATGAACAAAAATAATTTATAAGCTATAGTTATGAACATAATAGTTGTAATAATAATAAGCACATTAAAAATATATCGTTTTAGAGTAATTGGTTGAGGAGTAGGAAGAGTTTGAAGAAAATGAGAATAGTTGGAAGAAACTGGAAGGAATATGAAGAAACTGGAAAGAACTCGAAAAAACTGGAAGAAATTGGAAGCTAAGAGTTTAAGTTCTAAAGAACAGGCTCTAAAAATCTCTATAAATATAGAAATTACCCTAAATAAGACTAAAACATAGAAAAAATACCAAAATAGGACTTCCATATTTTTATTTTCGAAATAGGAGTTCGGACTGAGATAATGTGAAGGTAGTGTAAATATATTTTAAATTCTATTTTAGGAATAAAAACATAAAAGTTATATTATCCTCATTTCCACCCATTTGCCTTTAAAATCCAATTTCCTTTTTGAGTGACCAACTTCCCTTCCATTCTCGGCCACATCACACATTAGGGGTGTTCAAAAATATCCGATCCGAAATATCCGTCCACGATCCGGGCCGATCCGATCCGAAAAATGGATATCCGATCTAATATTTTAGCTTTCGGATATTTTGGATCGGATACCCGAAAAAAATCGGATCGGATATGGATTCAATTTCTAGAATTTTTCGGATAATCGGATATCCGATTTTTTTTTGCCATATGTTTTTGGAATTTTATGGATATATATTATGACTATATGTTTAAATGTAATTTTATGTTGATTTTGGAACTCAACCATTTTGGACTTTTTACATTAGCATTTTAGAATCTTTTGTTTTAATAGTGTTTTTTTTTGTTTGTTTAGGAAAAATTACCAAAGTTACTCCCAAATTAAATTTGATATCATTTTTTTATTAGGCCATTACCTAATGGTGGAATTTTTCTTTTAGTAAATCTATATTGAATTTGATATTTTGGGTTGATTTTGCTAGTTTACCTTTTTTTTTGTAAATTTTGGCTAAAAACTCAACTTTTCGGATAATCCAGTGATCCGATCCGAAAAAGCGAATATCCGAATTTCGAATATCCGAATATTTTCGGATCGGATATGGAATGAGTTTTACGTGATCCGAAATTTTCGGATATCCGAATTTTCGGATCGATCCGATTGAACACCCTATCACACAGGGCAAATTATATGGTACATCCAGTTGTACCTTCCTTTAGGTACATCCTGGTATTTTTGTAAATTTTGCAAACTTTTTATCCAATGCTCAGAACATATATATGAGAACTATTATGTATGACAATGAGTACCAGCAGATTTGAGAAGGAGTACCAGCACTTATGAAAATTATGATATTCTTATTCAATACAAAATGAATAAACCTGGGTTTAAATTCTCTTTGCCCAGAGAGTACAAATGAGTAGGAACGAATCGAATAGGGAAAGAAGTTGATGATGGTACTGAACTTTTTAATTGTGAAAAAATTGAACAATACTTTATTTCAGAATGAACATTTCCTTATTTGAGAATGAGTATTGTTTTTTAAGAATGAACACTACAATATTTATTATAATTATATTAGACAAATGTGTAAAAGTGAGTACTTCTTTATATTTAAAATGAGTACTACCTTTGCCAGAATGAGTACTTCATAGTTCGAAATGAATTTTATATTTGTAAGAAAATGAATACTAATTTATTTTAAAATTACTATACATTCGGAATTACCATATATCAACTCCATCACACAGTTTCATTGCTGTAAATTCTACACCCCCAGAGAGAGAGAGAGGGAGAGAGAGAATGGGAAGGAAAAATGGGGTGGTGTTCGATGAGGGAGCTCCGGACGACTTCGACCCGGAGAACCCGTATAAGGACCCGGTTGCGATGCTGGAGATGAGGGAGCATCTGGTGCGGGAGAAGTGGGTCGACATCGAGAAGGCCAAGATCCTCCGCGAGAAGGTGCGCTGGTGCTACCGGATCGAGGGCGTCAACCACCTCCAGAAGTGCCGCCACCTCGTCCACCAGTACCTGGATGCCACCCGTGGCGTCGGCTGGGGCAAGGACCAACGCCCCCCTGCTCTCCATGGTTCTCTCTCTCTCTCTCTCTCTCTCAGAATCGAGATTCTCTCGCACGATTGATTTTGATTCCAGCTTGAATTTTGAAATTTTCAGGTCCTAAGGTTGAGTCGTGAAGAAATTGGCTCCTCCTTTCAGGTATGGTCGAATTCAGTCTATATTTCTATAACTAGGATGAACTTAGAATGTGCCATTATCCAAAATTCAAAGTGCGCAATCTGTTTATGCTAGCTATGAAAAGAAACTGGGTAATTTTGATGCTTTTGAAACAATGTGTAAATTTGTGTTGAATCATTTGTTGAGAAAGGATGTTATGGAGCTGATCAAGGAAAGTCGACGAACAGTAATAGATGGTTAATGTGAAGTTTGTACATAAAGCTGTCTTATTTCTGGTCGATCATATCTCATATGGTACTTTTCTTGGTAAATTTATCTGCAAACCAGGGTTAAGGAGGCACCTCTTGCAAAAATGTTACTTGTTAGTATATTTTAACACCCATAGATGTCAAACAAAAAAAGGGGTTTTATCCATGTAAATAGACCATTGTATTCTTTCAAAGTATTGCAAACAAGGTCAATAATAGGTTAGTAAGGTTATCAACATTCATACGGTAGCTTCCTTACTCGGCATGATGTTTTTTTGCTTACACTGAACCACTTCACCACCGACATGGAAAGAAGAGAGAACCATGGCATACGTCCTCTCTTTGTCTGGATGAAGTATGCTTCCATGGTTGCACAAGGAAGAAACATCCATCCAGATTTTGGCTTCAAATAGATGATCATGCTTGTCTCTTTTAATGACTTGGACATTGGCGTCCTTTGTGTATGTAGCGTAGTCAAATGGAGGCCGAGGTGTAGCGGAAATATAATAGGCTGACATATGCAATTTGTGGAATATCTATGGTTATTTTGGCAGCGCAATATGCCATCTTTCATTGATAATATTATTTGAGACGGTTTGGTCACATGATGGCGTTGCATTGAGGCTCTTGTGCGGAGATGCGAGGGGCTTATAGTAGTGGGTGGGGTGGGGGAAGGGGTAGATCTAGGAAGTGTTGGAAGAGGTCAAGGAGGTGATTAGACAGGATATAGTAATATAGGACTTCTTGCCCTTACCAAGGATATGGCTATAGATAGATGCGTCTGGAAGTCTTGGACTAACATAGTTGGATAGTCGTTTCAGGTAGCCTTTGCTTGCCATTGTGTGTTTCTATGCATAGAGTCTTTTTGCTTACTGTTGCTTTTGTCTCCTTGCATTTTCTTTATTATTAGTATGCTCCTTGCTTCTTTGTCATGCTCTGTGCTTTTTGTATTGCTTGAGTGGGGGGTCTCTTGGATATCGCATCTCTATTTCTAATAGGGGGTGGTGTACACACACCCTCCACAAACCTTACTTTTGTGGGATTCTACTGGGTTGTTATTTTGTTATATGGGTCATGAGACGACCATCTTGTGGATGATGAAGCGATCATCGAACTGAATTAGGAGCCCATCATGGCCACAGTATTACTTTGCATTATAGCAAAGATCTCAAAACTAAGTTTTGTTTTTAACTAATTAAGTGAAGTGGCAGGGTAAACATCAAAGTCCTGAGTCTAAAAAAATTGTAATAATTAATTTTAGAGCAACAAGTCAACAGCAACAACAACAAATCCAACACTGATGGGTTGAGGGGAGGTCCAGATGTACACAAGCTTACCCCTCTAAATTGTTTTAAGAATTGATAAAATAAGAAACAGAAGGGACAAATTTTAGTAGTGATAATACGAGCCAATTGTCTACCCAGTCATCGTCAACATAAGGGCTTTTAGGTTAGGGTTTTTGGATGATATAATCATATGTACGTGCTAATTTCTTTGCCACTTAAACTACCCACTTTAGCTGTATTTTTTTGACAGTATACTGCCACCAAGTTTTGGTGGGGTGGACTCCACTAAAAGCTGACTTAACACAATAACAGACAAATGTGGATGATAGAAAACTGATTTTACTTCACAGTAAACCTTGTTGTGCTATAACTACCAAATTTTTAGCTCTCTTTGTCTCAAATTTATATGAAATGTTCTTCCTTTCGCAAATGGTAACTTTTTTCACAGAAAACTGTATGTCTGCAATCAAAATAGTTTTATGTCAACTACATATGTCTTTTGTTGTAACATGTCTGTTTTTTGCTAAGTCCACCCTATCAGAACCTATAAGCAGCATGTTATCAGAAAATACTATGGAAGTAGGCACTGACAGTGGCCATGCATGTATCATTTGTAACATGTACCCCAAAGTGTGTATCATTATCATCCAAAAAAGTTTTTACTTTTTATTAGAAATATCCCTTCTTTTGAAATATTCATATGATTCTGTCTTTTTTATATCAACATGTTTGTATTGACAAGCATCAATTTCCCCCGTTCAATTTCACTCTCCTGTTCTCCTTGAACCTTTTATTTTTGTTTTCATAAGCACCCAATGCCCCCAAACTTTATGATCCTAGCCCAAGTAAAATTTTAATCCAATTAAAACCACAGTTGTCATGGCGCTTGGTGACAATCATGGTGATGGTCCAGTTTCTTGTGGTGATGGTGCAAATATGGTGTCACCATATGACACATGTAATTAATTAAATTTACAAATATATAGGTCATAAATTCATTCAACAATAATGGATTTTTGATCTATATTGCAAATAAAAACACTACCAAACAAATTCAAAAGTGCTGGTCTTAAAACAACCTATGCAAAACTCAAAGTTTCTATTGAAGTTTAAATGATCTACTTTCCTATTTAGTCTGTCCAAATAAAGTTCATTTTCCTTCTTCCCAATTTGAACATAAGTAACTTCTTACTTTTTATATTTAAAATTTCAACCTTTACATGGATGTGAAAATGGGGCCATAATCACTTAAAGTGGATTGAGACAATCCATGTACTTTAAAATAGTGTGTGCTAAAAGTTTGGGCAGCAGAGTGGTGTAGGTGTGCTGCATAAAATACACATATTTGAGTGTTCATCTTCAATCACAAAGATGACTGGTTTGCCTCTCTTTGGAAGGAGTGTGATGAAGTCCATGAAATTGTTGAACTAAAACTGATTGGGATATGCAATGGTGAAGCAAACCAAAAAGGACTGTATGTCTGTACGGTTTATGTTATTGTGCGTGCAGTCAGTCACAACTTCTTTCACTTTTCTAATAAGTGGACTTGTTTAATGATGTGGATTTTTAATAGTTTTATTTTGTGGTGTATATATATAGTGCGTGTCCGTTCATGCAATGCTTTTTATGTTTCTATATGTGCACTATGCATGTATTTTAATTTAACATTTCTTATGTATCTTCAATTAAATACAATTCATGGTTTAAATCTCAATTTGATAACTTTGCTCTTAAGGCTAGAAAATGAGAATGATGCAAGGTGTTTGTATAAGACTATAAGGGGTAATGCTTAGTGACACGAAGGTGTACACTATGCTTGTCTTCTGCATTTCATAGATAAGATGCTTCACACCTAAAGTTTACGGAAAAAAAACTTTGGGGCAATACAAGTTTTCTCCTAAGAACTCGTTAGTCCTTATGTTTTTTTGAAAACCATTAGCGACCCTTAATTTTTTTTGTAAAGGCTACAAGGATGCTTTGCCACACTAATATCTAGTATTTTGACGAATAATATATCTGAGGAAATTAAAGGCTTCGTATTACGTATTTTATCCTTATCCACATGGTCTGCTTGTTTTCTGCTATGATCACCATCTAGTGTTTAACTCATGTTGTCTTTGCCACACTCATTTTTTTTATGCTTTTTTTAATCTATTGCAAATGGAAGAAAATAACAGAGAAAGCTAAAAGGGATTGTGGTCAATGGTCGTAGCAGAAGACAAGCAGACTATATGAATAAGGATAAAATAGGAGCTTTTAGTTTACTATGTTATTCACTATAATATTAGATATTAGTGCTTGAAAGTATCTTTCTGGTTTTTATAAAAACATGAGGACGTACGTGTTCTTATGAAAAAACTCGTGTCAACCCAAAGTTATTTTTTTTGCAAATTTTGTTTGGGATGCATGGACAAACCTGTGATGTGCAAAAATGAAACACTCCAAACATATTTGTTGCATAAGTAGTCTAGTAGACTCACTTTTTTTTATTTGTAGAAATATCACATTTTGGTAACAATGGAATAGAAGTGACACAATCAAGAAACGGATAGTGTGCATTCATTCAAACTGGTTTCAGTTTTGTGTGATCATATGTTTTTGTAGTTCTCTGCTCCGATGAAGAAACCCAGGATTGGCGATCATATAACTCGGGTAGTGAAAAAAAAGAATCATATTATTCAAGATGGCAATGTGTTAGTCTTAATTCTTCTGAATGCCGTTCACTAACGTGATTATTTTGTTTCTTAGAATGGCAAAAATCCATTAATACTATAGTTTACTGCACCTTGAAATGTGCCTCTAATTGTTTTCAACCCTATATGGTAGATGCATAAGACAATTTTCTACTTCCACAGTTTGACTTTTGTAGCTGTATTATATCATAAGAATTGGCATTATATCATTATTATCAATGGGTATGTGAAAAGAATGCTGAAATCTTCATGTTCTTTGTTTCGCAGGCAATTGCGCCCGTTGGGTCTTATTTGAATCATAAACCGGAGAAGTTTGATTCCCGCCTCCGATTGGCATAACTTGTGTGCTGTATTTTTATTGTTTTACTTCTCTACACCAAGACCTTTTTGTATTGAGCACTTTCCTGTATGTGTCAATGCTTTCATGCTGGCTTTCTGCAGCTCATTTGCTTATATAGGGTATGGACTAGAAATTGAGATTCAAATAAAGGAATATGAGCCTTTTTTCTTTCTTTAGTGGCCTTTTTTTGGTAAATTCTTATGTGGGCTTAAGGTCTGTGTAAAAATTAATGGGCCTTTTTTATAGTTGGATAAAATTTACTCCCTTCGTCCAAAAATTATTTTTTCCGTTGTGCCTTACGATGTTTGACTGAAGTTATTTTCAAATTGTTTTGTGTGAAAAATCGAGTGAAATTTTAAAAAATAAAAACTACATATTTAAAAACTACATTAAAAGATTTGAGGACATTACTATTTAATTTTATCAAATGAGCAATGAAATTATGCTAAAAAAGTAAATAAAGTTTGACGCCGTTAATAGTAAACGCAAAGATAATTTTTGGTCAGAGGAAATATCTAATATTTCTTTCGTCTCAAAAAATATTTCATGTTCATTAATCCAGGTTTTCGATAATTTCTGTGTGTATCACACTCAATTTTGTTAGATAGAGTGTAAATCACGCACAATTTTTTTTAATTTATTTATATCAAAATAACTTAAACAAAAACATTAAATAAATAATTCATTAAAATTAAAAATTACATTGACATAATGCATAAAAGAAGAAGAAAATAAGAGGAATAGATGAAGTAAAAAATACAAGTATTCGATTAATAAAAAACACAATTACTTGAAAAAAAATCAAAGATCACTGTCTAAGTTGTCGGCTACACTTCCAAGCCAATTTTGGCTAATTTTGTCCTTCATTTTTAGAACACTTGTACGTTCTAGAGGTGGAAAATGATCATCACTCGCCATCAGAATCTCGTACCCTATTAGCTTATTACGTTCACGCTCCAACCGAAGTACCTCATTGGCATCTTTACATTTCAGTCGAATCTTGTGCGATAGTTTACCCTTCGGGTTCGGGCACCATCGGTGACGATGTCTTCTTCGCCTTATCTCTCCGGACGGGCCGTGTTAGCTTGCTCCAGGACAGGTGTTGGGCCAACCATTCTTATGACTTATTGAAAATTTCCTAAAAGTTGTCGTTGCCACTCAAGGAATTGCAAATAGGAAGGATTATAATATGGTTTTAAAAAAAATATTTAGGGAGATGAGAAAAATTTGTTTATAAAAGAGATATAAAGTAGGTCATAACGCACTTGGGTTGGACCACATTAAAAGATTAAATTCATTCAATTAGCTAGTTCATTTTAAGAGCTTATAATATACCGATTATTTTACGCTTGGACTTCTGGTGTAGGATGACAGTCTAACAACGTTCTATGGATTCGCCAAGAATGGGTTTTACTTCTTCCGCCTTCTTGGTAGCTTGAAATTCTCGAAGTGCCCATTTCATTATTCCATTCATATGCTGCTGCAAGACCACTGATTTCTTGGACTTCATGTGTAATTCTCAAACTGTCCTTTTTTGCATAGATATGCTGCAGTGAGATCAATGGTTTCTTAAGTTGTGTTTGGTTGGGGTAAAATATTTTCTATGGAAATTATTCTCCTTCGGGTAATGTCACCAAATACAGGAAAATGGAATCAAAATTAGTATTTTCCCCCAACCAAACAGCCAGTGGCGGACCCAGGAATTTCGGTGAGTGGGTTCACATTTTGTGCACAAAAAGAAAATGTTGATATTTGTATAGCAATAAATTTAAAACAAGGTAAAAAAGTATCAATAAATAGCATTCTGAGATAAATATTGCAAGTTGTATGTAATATTTTTGAAATACTGTATAATAAATATAATATGTTCATTGCTTTAACCAAAAAAGAAAAAAAAACTAAACTAAAATATTAATTCTAGAAATTTCTTCAAATACTAAGTATATTTTAAGAATCTTTTTAAAACAATTAAACTCGTTTATACATTTCAAAAAAATTGAACATTTTATAATTAAGTTTCGTAATTAAAGTTAAATCAATTTTCCAAATCTAAAAGAATTAAAACATAAAATTCTACACAATTATAAAAGGTGTTCTCTGTTCCATTTTCAAAAAAATAGCACCTAATCACATATAAATATACTCTTCTTGGATGCCTTTAATGTACATATAGTAGCTAATTACAAACTACTACTAATAAATAATTTTTTTTGGAGTGGGTGCAATTGAACCCACTTGCACAACCGTAGGTCCGCCCCTGCAAACAGCCCTCACCAATCCACAAAGACCTATCCATTTTTTTGTACTAGCATCACTCACGTGCGTTGCACGGGTCATAATTATATTACTAAATTAAGATCATTTTTGAAGGATATAATTTCTTATCTAATACTCCCTCTGTCCCTGACACATCTTCCCTTTCATTTTTTCTTTGTCCCACAAATTCCTTTTTTATTAAAAAACTACTTTTACCCCTAACTTTTTCATACCCTACCTATTATATCATACCTTTTTACTAATAATCTATCTATCACATCTTACATTTATCAATCACATCAAAAGTATTTTTGGAAAGTCAATACCAAATTATCTCTCCCTTAATTTTCCAAAAAGTCAATAAGGGAACTTCTTTCGGGACGGAGGGAGTAGAATATAAAGATTTTATTACTTTAAAGTACAAAAGTTAATTGTTTTACAAATAACGAAAGACTTCTTTATGAACTACATTACTCGTATAATTTTTATATATCAAACTTTTAAATCATTTATTTATTTAAAGACTTCTTCATGATTTTCTACTCCGAAAGCATGAATCTTATTTAAGAACTCAATATAGTGTAAGTCATTCAAAAAATTTGAAAGAGGCTAATCACGAAAAGTGATTGAGAATGACGACTAAATTTAAAGTATGAAAAAATTAAAGTATTTTTCTATTTACATGCATCTAATTTTTTTCCGGGTAAGTTATTAATTAGTGGTTGATTGTTCAACATATAAACGTATATATTATTCAATATGTTTCCATGTATTAAAGGCACACCTATAATAATAACTAAATACGATAATATTATTACACTATATATTATTATTATTATTATTATTATTCTTTCACGACAATAAATTAATAATGATTAAATACATTAATATTTTTGCACGGTATAGTAGTATTATTATTATTTTTACACGGTAATACATGATTTATTCTTGCTACAAAGTAATTTATGATTTAATTATTATTTCTATATTCAACACTTAACATATGTGCCACCATTTCTATGTATTATTTTGACATTTTTTTATATTTAATTTCTTTTATTATTTTTTATTTTGATTTTTTTTAATTGTGCCTTCCTTAAATGCATAAACTTATATATTTAAATTTCTTCATAAAATATTTGGCGCCATAATAAATTAATAATGATAAAATATGGTAATATTAAGTTTGGCCATGTTCTCTAAATGGAAACATTTTTAAATTGAAAGTTTTTTGGATTAGAATTATTAGACGATAATAATGACTCAGTACGGTAATTTTTTTACACAGTATATTATTATCATTTTTCTTACATAGTAATAAATTAATAATGATTAAATACGGCAATATTATTACACGATATATTAATATTATTATTCTTGTTACACGGTAATACATTATCTATTCTTATTACACGATGATTTATTATTTAATTATCATTTATTTATTCAACACTTACTATATGTACCACCATTTCTATGTATTACTTTGACATTTCTTTTAGATTTGATTTCTTTTCGAAAAGGAAACAAATGGTTTGTATGATTAAAATGGTTTGTTTCTAAATTGGAAAAGGAAACAAATGGTTTGTATGATTAAAATGGTTTGTTTCTTAATTGGAAATTATATAAATTACGAAACTGTAAATTTAATGCATTGATTAAAAAATTAACAGCTTAACGTGATTATTACCTTTTATGGACAAATATTATTTTTAGTTGAATGGTAATCATTTTTTATGTTATATCAATTCCAATTTTATAAAAAAGTTCGGTATTAGAAAAGAAGTTTATATAAATAATATTTTTTATATTTTGTTTCCTTTTTAAAAATATATTAGACATGTGCAATTTCCTTTAATTTATCATTCTAAATAAGAATAGAGTGATTAAGTAATTATTCTTGCGAAATTATTCTAAAAAGGAAACAACGTAGATCTTGTTTGCGAAATTAGTCCCTTCCTTTTTTTATCAAAATTAAGTAATTATGCATGTGAAATATCCTTTAATTTATCATTTGATTATTCTTAAAAGTATTTCCTTTTAAGAATAGAGTGATTAAGTAAATAATTACATATTTAGTTAGGCGTAAATAATTACTTTTTGATAAAATAATCAGGTGTAAATTATTCCAAGAAATTATAATAATAATAGTAATAATTAGGCGTAAATAATTACCCATTTAAAAAGGAAACAAAATATAAAAAATCTCCTGCACCGTCCCTTCCTTTTTTATCACAATCAAGTAATGCGAAATTGGTTAGGAAACAAATTACTCCCTTCCTTTTTGATCAAAATAGAGTGATTATGCATGCAAAATTTCCTTTAATTTATCATTCTAAATAGGTAATATTACACAACCAATCATAGCCGTAGATCTTGTTTGTTCCTTAGCTTGATATCGACGGTGCAGGAGATGAGTGCATTGGGCGGGAAAATAATTCTCCTACTTTTAAGAATAAAGTGATAAAAAGAACATTTCACTCAAAATATTTCTTTCTTATAAACAAATTTAGGCCACATAAGTATTTTTTATCTTTTAATTTTTAACATTTTTCTTAATTTTCAAGAAATCTCCACAGAGTCAACATAAACTTGGCCTAAAATCCGCTTCTCCAAAGCATCCATCCAAACAAATAAAGCCTCACCATATCAACCAATCACTTTATAATGAATATGCAAAATTACTACATACAAATACAAAAAAAAAATAAAAAAAATACCCAATTCAATTATATATGTTCCACTGAGTGGGTGAGATAGGACTTCTTTAAAATCATAAACCAAGTTGTAGTAAATTGAGTCTTGTTTCACCCTACATGAAATCCCTACCGTCTGGATGGGTCTGAGGGGAGCCTCGGGGATGAGGCTCATCCTTTTTCCTAATGGCTCGAATGGATGGGGTTAGGCGCAACGCTGACTGCGTAAATTGAAAAGGATGAGCCCTCGGGACGGACAGTCACTGATAGGAGGTAAGTTCGATTTTGATCACAGATTGATGGCAGAGAGTAAAACATGCGGGTGAAATGGTGAAGTCTTCGTGCAACATTGACGGTGTAAAACCGGCTACACGAAAAGGATGAGCCCTCGAAACGGACGGTCACCGATATATAGGAGGTAAGTTAGATTTTGATCACAAATTGATGGTAGAGAGTAAAACCTGCAGGTGAAACGGTGAATTCTTTGTGCAACGTTGACGGCATAAATTGGGCTATACAAAAAGGATGAGCCCCCGAGACGGGAGGTCACTGATAGGAGGTAAGTTGGATTTTGATCACAGATCGATGGCAGGGAGTAAAACGTGCGGTTGAAACGGCGAATTATTCGTGCCAGCAGAGGAGCATAACAATGCATCTTCTGATAATGAAGAGCCTGCCTTTTTGCTCTCTAAAGCACACTCTCTTTGAATAACCCTTCTTCCTCTTCTTGTTAATTACTCCCACATCATCTCCCATGGAAGCTGCATTAGTAGAGCCATTCTTGTTCTTCATCTTCAATCGCCTTAGACGGTCATGAGGGTCGACTCAGAATCGATCGATTCCTGACAGCGTCAGTGTGGAATTGAGTTGAAGTTTTATCCAATGTGATAAGTCAAGCACGGATTATATTGTGATTTACCCTCTTATTGTTCAACTTGGGGGGGTCAGCGTTCAGGCTGATCCTCTTTTTTTTCAAAATATGAAAATTGCCCCCTTTTTTTCAATGATATATATATATATATATATATATATATATATATATATATATATATATATATATATATATATATATATATATATGAGTGCAGTGCGTGCGTGCAAGCTAATTTAAGAAGCCATCTGATATACTATATATATATATATCCCTACCTCATTCATCTTATAGGACATTATGTATGTAGGAGAAAAAACAGGTAGGTGCAATTAGTGAGTCGCACTAAATGTGACAAATGTGTATTGCATATTAATACTGTTGGAAAATTAGCTATAAAAGTGGAGAAAATGTGAATGAGAAATTGGTTTAATCTATTTCGTTCCTAACGTAGCCAAACGCAGCCTTAGTTAGATCTATTTTGACCACATTTAAATGGAGCTAAACTTACTCAGTTTGTTCCCCTTTTTGCTCGGTCAATAGAGCCTATCCAAGGCAGTTGGCAAGTTGCTCCCCACTTTGCTAATTTTGTGTGGATGATATTCATTCCCTTCTTCAATAAATAGCCAAGGGAGTAGCAGTGCTTCAACACGGCTCTTCCACTTCAGAGCACACAAAATTCACAGAGTGATCAGATAAAATTCTCTCCTTTTTCGTTCATGTTCGCCGGTGTTTATATACACGGTGTTAGTATCTAAACACGATCACTGTTTTATCCTGGGAGACATACGCCTCACGTTGTTCCAAACACCACCGGACGAGGCGAATACGTCTTAAGGACAGCCACATCTTCCGGCGACTCAGTGCGTTCGTTCCGCTGCTCCATTTCGAGCCATTTACAACCTGATCCAGTGCCATCATTCTTTCTCTAGTGTTTTTGGCTACTGCCATTCTTCTCAGCTTGGTTACCATTTATCATTTGTTTCATTTTTACCTATTACAGTAGCAAGTTTGTTGATTGTTTTCAACAAATACAATAAAACAAAATTTGAAAAGCTGTATGCAACATAAGTCTAACAAAGTCATTTTTATTAGATTTATCATGTAAAATGTTTGCCCAGTTTTGAGTTTTTTGCGGTCAAAATTGATAAAATTTGTGGGTTAGTTAAATAAAATTTATACTGAGTAATAGATATTGAAACAAGAATGATTTTATTAGACTTATCCCGTAAAATATTTTTAAGATATTATTTTATCCAATTAATATATACTAATTATAGTTGATTGCAAAAAGTCAAAACTGAAAACGTAGTCAAGCACGGAAATTACACAATATTTCTTTATTTAAAACCTCAAAATTCATCTCCTAGTCTGACTGGACAAATAGAGAGCGATATTAGTATACACTATTGTTATTCTTTGCATGGAAGGGCACAGCCTGGCTGCAGGTAGCTAACTTGGTTTTGGGTGCATGACCCATGCCTCACACACCATGCATGTTTTGTTTGTACGTCTTTCTTTGCAATGCATTAAGAAATTGAGGATAGGAAAATACTCCCTCCGTCCCATGAAACATGATACTTTTGCTTTTTAGGAGGGATTTAAGGGGAGTGTATTTTGGTATTAAATTTCCAAAAATGTCCTTTGATGTGATGGGTAAAAGTATGATTTGATGGATAGATTATTAGTAAAAAGGTATGATGTGATAGTTAGGGTATGAAAAAGTAAGGGGTAAAAGTGACTTTTTAATAGAAATGAGAAGTGTTTTGTAGGACGGACAAAAAAAGAAAGGAGAAAGGTTTCATGGGACGGAGGGAGTATATTTTTTTCTTCAAAGCCGCTACATCCTTTAAAACCGGTCTCCGGCGTTGACCACTGTCGGTCGGGGTCCACCATACTGCCGCTATCACTTTGTCAGGTCGGCTTAAGAGGTGGGCAAAGTGGCCACCTGCTCATGGCCCCATTTTTTGTGTATATATATAAATAACCCTGTTTTATTACTCTTATTACTATAATGTTAATTATTGTTAAAAAATAAACTCATAGGGTTTAAAAATACAGAATTAAAGAAATCTGAAAGGATTTTAATTTCTTACTTGTAAAGAATTGGATTCTTCCATTAAGCAACTCCCTCCTGCACAAATCAACCCTAATTTTTTGTTGTGGAATTGTGGCTAATATAGATCGGAGATGCAATTAGGCGCCAACTTTCTCACTAGATTTTCATGGGTAGAAGTGGAAAATTTCTCCAAATCGCGTATCTCAGCGGTTGAACGCTGGCCCTGGGAAGCTTTCTGCATTAAGCCGTGCGAGAAAATAAGCGAGGGACTTAGAACCAAGGACTCTGTTAACGCAAGAAAAACACAATTTTATTTTCTTTTAGCGTTTTTTCCCAAACAGGCCCAATGTCTTGACTACTCGAGGACGGCCCTGACTGCCTAACATTGTGACCATTCACACTATTATTTTGTTATTACAATGTCATTATTTACATTGTCAATCTCTTAATTAGGAAATAAAAATAATGCTACTAATATATTGATGATATTTCACTCCTGACATTGTTTTAGGAAAGAAAAATGCTAGGGGTACACCAAAGGTGTACCCCAAATATCCCCCACCCCCTCCTTGTCTACTAAAAAAGGCAAAAAAATTCAAAAAAAAAAATAAGTAAATGAAAATCAAATAAAAATGTGTGGAGGAAAATAAGGTGGTGTACATTTGGGGTACACCTTTTGGTGTACCCCTAGCATTACTCACTTATTTACTTAAGTCTTTTTTAAAAATTGATTAAAGAGCACGTGAAGTTCACAAGACATATATGGTCAATGTCTGCAGGTAGAAGGACAACCTTTGTTCATTAAATCCTCTGATTTGAACAGCCATAAATAGTCTATGGTTTTCCCCATCACTCCCTCACAGGAAGCAACCCCACCCACAACCAACAAACAAAAGAAGAATTTGTTTTCATCAAAGCAAATTATTACTGTATTTTGCAACCAATGTACACCTAATAAGCATGATTTTCTGAAATAAAATAATTAATTTTTATAAATTAATTTTGTTCATTTCATTTTACGATGTTTGACTGAAATTATTTTCAAATCATTATATATAAAAATTAGTGTGAAAATTTAAAAAGAAAAAATTTATACATTTGAAAAATAAATCTAAAATTCTATACAATAAGAAGTAACATGACTGTAATATTTTATCTATATACAATAAAAGGAGAATTTGTTTTCAAAGCAAAGTATTATTTGCAACATATGTACATATAAGCATGACTTTCTAAAACAAATAAATTAATGCTAAGATATGTAGGGGTGGGCAAGAATTCCTATCCCGTTGTCCTAATCCAAAATATCTCGGCCTAGTCCTTATAATGTACTATAATTTTATTTGGGATAACAAAATTTTATCCTGAACCTGTTCCCAACCATTTTAAAATGGGATGAGACTGTGACATATAAATATTTTCCTGTATCATCCCACTGTCCCGTATGTATGATATTTATTTATCTATTTATTTATTTACATAATGATATAATATAAAAAAGTATCATAATTTTTGTTTTTCCCAAGATAGATAAAAATAAATATCCAAAAATAAATATTCTAAAAACATTGGACTAGGACCGAAACATCTAAAGACCTAGACCATTCCAACTTGTACTCACCTCAATTTGTAGCTCATAGTTTTTTTGTAAAGTTTATAGTTTTGACTTTTAATAGATGTGTGGCATATTTTTCCTGTTGTGTTATTGTTTTTGGCTCTTCTAAGATAGTCTAAATAATTATTTAATTTTTTTTCTTATTTTGCAAGTCAAAGTGGATTGTCTCCCCTTTATATTTTATATTTTTATATCTAACTTCAGACAATGACAAAGCAGGATAATCCAAACCTGTTCCATATTGTCCCGATTCCGAATATTTAAGGACAAAGAGGGATCAAACCATTGAAAAAACAGGACAAGATGCGAGATGGTATAAAACCTGAACTTTCCCGAACCATGTACATCTCTAACGATATGTATTAATATTCTAAAATAAATAAATTAATCAATGTTAGTTTAGGTATAATTCAATCAATGTATTCATTTAATTTGATAGAGTTTTCTTTCATGTTCTATATTGTTAGAAGATTAGCGAACTAAATCGATCATTTGTTGATCTTTTCTCAAAAAGATCAACGAATCAAGTTATTCATTTATTAAGTAGCACATCTAGTTCTATGTTTGATTCTGAGGTGGACCCCCATTATGTATTTGATAGAATTTAGGATGGGGTATGGACAGCTGGATTGGGCAATAAGACACTTAGGTTGAACCACATTAAAAGATTGAATCCAATCGATTAGTTAGTCCAACTCAAGAGCTTATATACCGGTTATTTTACTCCTGAACTTTCGATGTGGGATGCACTCTAAATATTTGTGTTGCTTTGCTTAGCGAGCTGGTTGGCCACCACAGAAGTTCTTTTCAAACAAGAACAATACTTATGTGGGAAGGTTCATGACTTCCACTTAATTAGAGTGCATGATTGAAGCACACTACTCCCTCCGTCTTAAATTAATATTCATAATTTAACTTTAAATAAAATTTAAAAAAGGTAAAATTATATGATTAAAAATGATACAAAAGAGAGAAAAATGGTAAGCCACAAAATACTAACCAAAAAAGGAAAGTTGAAATTAATTTTGGATAACTCAAAGGGGAAATAAGGAAGATTAATTTAAGAAATAGGAAATATAATTTAGAGAGTTAATACTTATTTTGGTCTATGTAAAAGCATCTCCAACAATAACATCTAGGTCAAAATGTTCAAGAGTAGATCCTACACAAATAATTCTCTTCTAGCATCTATATTTTGCACAATGGTAGCATCTCTTTTAGATGCCTATGGGTCCTACATTCCATTTGTTATTTAATGATTGGACTAAAAGAAATAAGTTAGCCATGTGTCATTCAATTATGGAGCATGCTACAGGTATCCCAAAATTCTCATTTGTACACCAAAGATATGCACCAACATTTTAATGTTTCACACTAATACAAAGTGTTGGTACGTTAACAAAACATTACACTGACACAAAGTGTTTGTACATTAACAAAAATTAGCATTACACCAACACAAAATGTTAGTGCATTCCTGCTGTGTACAAAATGGGGTACAAATAGCACCTTCCTTCAATTATTGAAGCATTGCACACTCACTCTTTTGTGCTCAAGATAGCATCTCTCAATCTTTTTCTTCATTCAATATTTGACTTGGGTCCACCAATATTTCACTCTTTCTTAGAGCTCCCAAAGGACCTAAGTGCACTCACAAGTCAATTTCGTCTTGGTACGTTGGAGTGAATCAAGTTAGTTCCACAAATGCAATTTATCTAAACGATACTATCGAAACACTAAGGTGGCACGTTAATTAATACAAAGAACTAATACACGGGGTCATTTATCTTGCGTTAAATAATGTGCTAACTCGATATTATGATAACACATTTAGAAAAATTGCTAGAGGACCTAACTTAATTGATATTTTCTAATTAAAGGGACTAATTTTACTCAACTCAATATACAAAGACTAAATTGACTCGTGAGTTAGAGAGAAAAGGATTAAAAAATGGAAAGAAATGAAAATAAGAGTAAAAAATAGACTAAAAGGGGGAAAATAAAATTCCTTCCAGTTTGATGAGGAAAAAGGGAGGAAACTTTTTTCTTTTCCTTCTTAATTCCTCGGACCAAACATCGCGAAAGAGAGAAATCAGTGTTCATTTCATGTTATATCACCAACTCCATTGGAGTCCTAGCTCAAGATCTAAGCAACATTAGACCTGTACAAAAGTAGATGTTGATTTCTCTGGTGAAATTCCCATTTACCCCTTCTCTTCTTGCCCTGTAATCTGCAGAAATAGAAAGATGTTCTGTGAGCAATAATTGAGATTATAATATTGTTATATCAAAATTGGGTTGGAGACCATTCAGTAATCATTTCATTAATGCACCAACTTATTCTTTGATTTGAACTTTTGAAGTGACATTTAACATATGTTTGAGATATGAAGTAAATATTGGCTCACACATATGGGGTATGGTATTTAGCAAACTCAGTTTTGGCCCCTTATGTGACAACCAATGAATAGCTCAAAAAACAACACATTTCAAATTTACAACACATGTGGCAGTTATCTCAATGAAAAAAATGGTCTTTTCACCACACGGTTTACCTTAATACGGAGTATTTGGTTTTTACACCGCATTCAATTAGACTTTGCATCCGATTATGATGGAGGAAATTAACTACGCATATTATCACAAGTTTGAGCTAAAACGTTAACGTCGAGAGTAATACTCATTCAAATCAAACAGAGGGATACATTAACGTTTTTACACCGCATTCAATTATAGGTCAAGGTAATATATGTTAACATTGAGAGTAATACTCATTCAAATCAAAGATCAATGGACTTTCCTTGGATGAGCAAAACAAGCCACCCTATTGGAGTCGTGGCATGCAAGTAAAATAGGCAGACAGGAAAAAGAAAAATAGAATATTCATAGAGAACACTCGAGCTTCTTCGATCGGAAAAATGGTATTGAAATGAGAAGAGTACAAAAAACTTACCAAATTTTATCCTGCTGACATAGTTGAAAGCAATGTCTTCTTGAGTTCGTCAACTTCCTTCGTCAATTTCTCTCTTTCGATATCTCGAATTCTTATGTCAATTTCTAGAGCTACACTTCACAATACATCACACTTTAGAATTGGCAAAAGAAAAGGAAACGTAATGAAAGTCTAGCATAACAGCAAGGTACCATGTATAGAATTCTGGAGATCTTCAAGGATCTCTTCAACAAATGCAGCCATTGAGTTTTGTAAAACAGAATTTCTATTGTTCAAGGAGCCAACTTCTCTTTCTAGACAGGCTTTCTCAAGGAGTAACGCCCCAATTTCATCGTTATCTTGCTTCCCAATATTCTTTTGAAAATCCATGCATGACCTCTGGAATACTTCTCTGCACAAGAACAGTTATTTACTTTATGCCTACTCATGTTTTGGAAACATTATCTGTTGTGAAAGACCTGAGAGCCATATTCAAGATTTCAAAGCAAACTGCAGCTCTTATTTATAACTTTAAACCTTTAGAAAGTCGAAATTAAGCAAAACATTCATATATATATTACTCCACTGAGAGGAAGTCAATTCACCCGGTTAGGTGTGAGTGTGACACGGAACATATTCAGGAATCTATATCAAACAATGCAATTATTCTTGACTTGTAACTCAAGAGAGTGGGAGAATGCGACAAATGATTTGAAATTCATGGATTGAGAGAGAATACATTATATTTCATTTACGCCTTTCGATGATAGGTTTGGCTTGGTTTAGTTTGACTAACACCTTCAGATAGCGATAACTCTAGCAAGCCAAATTGGAAATTCAAATTAGTTACAATTTTCTGATAAAAGAAAAAAATCTATATAATCGGTAACAGAAAATATAACCTTTGATGCAATGCAAATACTTAAGAAGGAATGTTAATAACGGTCATAAAAGTCGTTAGCTTTTTTTTCCATTGGCACACAGATATTAAACATGAAATTTCATATATCTAAATTGTGTTTTGAGTTACACTTTTTATCAACGCAGTGTTGGAATGCTAAATGGTTAGGATCACTACCGTTGAACGTTCATCCGAGTAAATATCTCATCCCGCTTCCCTCTTAGAGAATCTAACTCTTCCTCCAATAACTTATGAGAGGCTGTTGAATTAGCTGCAAAAGAAGACAGAAGAGTTAAGAGCAGTATAGCATAAATAACCATCTCCTCTTAGAACAAATTTAAAAGGTTATCCAAATGCTCCGAGCACATATTGTAAAGATAAATGCAGCAAGTTGAACTTTTTGTTCAAGATAGAATGGTTTACCTGTTAAAAGATGCCAAAAAGACAAAATACCACATTCATGATATAATAACACTAGTTGGTTCCCGTGTATGATACATCTGAAATTAACTTGATTGTCAATTATGGAAGAAGAACGATGTCACGGAAGTAGAAACCATTATTAACAATTTTAGTGAGATCTATTTCCAAGTTACTGATTTCAGATGAAGGAATCAAAACCATATTTTTCGATGTTTCATAGAAATACCAGTGACAGACTTCAAGCCGTTGATTTCGAACTGTTGCATATACGCTGTTTTCATCAGCTCCGATTCTCGAGCAAGCAGGGAGGCCTCGGACTCGTCGCACTTGACAATTTCCGACTCGATCTCCCTGGTGATTTGGATGTTCGCCTCGATTTCCTCGTTCACCTGGTACAAAACAAAAACAGCAAAAACCCTAGAATCAATCATCGGCGATTCTATAATTCATTGAACTGAGGGTTGTCTGTGAAGTATAAACAGAGATACCTTATCAAGCATGTCTTTGAGCAAAGATATCTCACAGAGAAATGCACCCGAATCGTCCATTGTCTCTCTCTCCCGACCCGAGTATGGAACTGTGGAGTTATGCCCGGACCTTTTCTTTAGTTTATGGTGACAATATTTGGCGGCCGGTTGGGACTTCAAAATTTCAAAAAAAAAACTTCTTAAAAAATGGTTGTCTCTAGTCTAATTTTTTGAAGTTATTATCAGTTGTGAACTAATCTGATGTGATCTAGTCTGATATATATTCAATTTAATTTAAATACATGAAGAAGATGAATAAAATTTGATCACACAAATAATGTACATGTCATTTAATTATGGAGAGAGGAAAATAGTACTCCGTATAATTCTTGTCTTTTTAATTTAAAATATTGATATTTTCCTCATGTCAATTTATAATAATAAAATATTCATAAGTTTTGGATTTAATTTGGTGTAATATAAATTAATAAAACTCAGTTTATCGGAAAGCGATTAAAACAGAACTAATTAAACACGAAACCAATCTCCATTTTTTATATAAAAACGGAGTACAATTTTATTGGGGGAAAATATTTTTTTAAAATTTTACACGACACTAATAATAGTAATAATAATAATAAAAACAACAACAATAACAATTATAATTAGAGTACTATGTAAAATACACTTAAATTAATTTCTGATTTTTTTTTTAATTTCTTCCAGTTTCTTCCAAGATTCGGCTCTTTTTTTCTAATTCTAAAAAGATACACTAGACTAGTGATATCACACATTAGCAAGAAAAAGTGGTGCATTTTATTATAACTACTACACACTTTATAATTAGACAATCATTTTACAATTTGGCACCCTGCCATCTTCCTTAGCTTCCCAATCAAACTATATATTCTCTAAACTTCTTTTAGTTTCTTCTAACTCCAACCAGTTGTTTCCAATTTCTCACAGTTTCTTTTAATTCCTTCTAGTTTCTTCCAACTACTAGTTTCTTCCAACTTTTCATGTTTCTTCCAATATCCAACCCAGTTTTTCTAACTAAAACGAACTGAGCCTTAAAATATTTAACTCTACATTTCTTCAGAGTTGGACATTGGAGGAAACAAGAAAAAGTTAGAAAAACTAGAAGAAGTTATAAAAACTGGAAGAAGTTGGAAAAACTAAAAGGAGTTGGAAAATGTTGGAAGTTAAAGAGCTATCACATTGCTTACTCCCTTAGCAAGGAAAAGTGGTGCATTTTATTATAATAACTACTACACAGTTTATAATTAGACAATCATTTTACAACTTGGCACTGTGGGATCTTCCTTGGCTTCCCAATCAAACTATATTCTCTCCAACTGGCAAGCCTTCATCTCTTTTCCACAACATCAAATACTGTGTCACCCTAGACAAAAACCCAATATTCTCATCTTTGTTAGAAATTAATTCAACAGGTTCCTTGAACTTGGCTTTCTCACTTAGCTCGTCGAATGCATCGACGAGGTTTTGGAGTCTTGCGACAAATTCAATGAGTAGTGAGGTGAACGTTGCCAATGACAAGGCACTCGCGTTCTCGTACGTCCTAGATTCCTCTTCTTTGTGGGCTACCGTGTTTGAACACTTTGGTTCGTGCTTCTCAGATGTGATTCCTACCATTGGCTTGTGGCATGAATTCATCAAGTATTTCCCATCATCCCAACTCATTGGCATTTGGATGGAAGTTAGATCAAGTCCTGCTTCGCTTAGGGACTTGACATAATGTCCATTGGTGACGGTGTCATCATCCAAGGTAAAAAATTCTTGGGGAACATTGACTTTGGCATGTTGCCTCTCGCCAATTTCCCAGCTATCGGCGTTGACAAGAAGGTAAGATTTCTTATCAACCTTGTTTTGCAACTCTTCTGCTGCTTCATGAACTTCGCCCAGTATGTCTACCCCGCCCAATTTCTCCATCTTTTTCACCTTCTCCACAAGACCTCTCAGCACTGCAGCACCTGCCACACCTACCCTTTGGAGCTCACTACGGAATACTTGTCTTCTTTCGGCAGGAGCCTGTATTCGCAAAACGCGAAATCGGTTATTTCTATATATAAAGTTATAAACAATCTATTTTTAAAAAAATGTATTACTCGCCTAGTGAAATTCCGTCAATACATGTATCATTTAACAAATGCATTAACCCCTTTGTGTTGCTTGAGATAGTATTTGCAGATTTTTTTTATCTCTTTATATTCATAACAATGCAGTGTATTCCAGGTGTTGCAAATTGCAATCCGGCAAACTATCTCAGAATCAGCAGATTTATTTTGTATCTATTACATTCTTAATAATGCAATCTATTCCAGGTACCCCCAATCATGAGATTTTATTGGGTTGTTGTTGTTGTCATTGTTTTCCAGGTATCCCAATCTGCAAACTCAATATCAGCAGATTGATTGGATTTCCTATTGGATACAATATTTTATCATTTCTAGTTTGATTTGCATTTTGAAAAAAAAAATACCATCAAACTTTTGAAAAGTAGATGTTTACTAGCTAGTTCAAATTTGATTGTTCTTCTCTTATTTGTACATGACTTAAACTTCTGTTACTTACAGTTGCAGACTGTCTCAAAAGTTTTTGTATGAATTATAATTATTATATATATATGTTTATATCCTTTAAAAAATGATGTGCGTGTTTTCCTTTTCTGTCCATCCCAGAAAGATGGGAATGTTTTCATATGTTAAAAGTGTTATGTAGTTCACAATGGCTTGTCCCTCATGTGCATGAATCTCAACCTTAAAATTTTCAATTTATTAAGCACCGTGCCTGCCAAATTGCGCACATCTTTTTGCAACAAAGGAAGTGATATTTCATAGTGCGCACTCCGGCTAAAAATATGTAAGCAGAGTAGAATGGGCACCTGTATTTCCGAAAGTATACACCCATGCAGTGCCATGACCATGAATGCACAGTGCCTTAATGCCCCACTGAGCTTGACATAGTTTCTCCATGGGTATTTAAACATTTTGTAAGGACCATGGGGTGGCTCCCATATCGCAAATCCCATCTGGATAATAATAATAATAATAATAATAATAATAACAACAACAACAACAACAGTTTAGGATATGAAGAAAAAAATGTTTGGGGATGCGGAGACAATGCAGGCACATACCAGAGCCTCCTCCTGGCTTGTCGATTCTACCGCTGCTCTATACCCACTGTAGACGGGATCATCAGATGCTTGGTAGGTAAGAATTTTTGAAGGGATCCTCTCGTATTCAACACAATTTAGATACCCATTGATGCAATCTGAAACAAATATTGATAAAAATGAAATATTGCATATAAAAGAAAACAAAGAATGAACTGTATAGTGGGGGGGAACCAACTTTAACTAAAACATTGAAATAATAATAATACTACGATTAGTATTACTACAAATGATGATAATCATATTAATAATAATAGTAATAATAATGAAATTGACCTTCTAATGAAGATGCAACGCCCTTGAAATTCTTTGCCACGAGGTTGTGAAGATCCTCACCAGCCCAGATGGGATAAATGCAGATATTAACCGCCAAAGAGACACCAGCACCAAGTGCAATTAGTAGGAATCGAGTGACAGCTGTGTGAACAAATTCTCTGGTGCGATAGCCCGACACCATTATGAAGCAATATGTTATTAAAAAGACTCGAAACCCATATTCATATGGCTTTACCGTCGGGTACATTTTAGCATACGTTATGCACATACCTGACAATAATTATGCACAAAAACTGTTAGAATATAGAAAAACCTTTCTTGGGCCTACAACCACAAGCTTGAGCTTTTGGTTGAGTTGGTTCCTTGACAAAAACATGCTGAGAAAGATTCACAAAGCCGGGAAAGAGAAACATCTCTTACACCACAAACTACTGAAACTAGTCAGGAAGACATACCTATGATGAATATGCCTATGATTATAACAACTTCTTCCCAATCTCCAGCCAACTGAGATAACTCAGCCATTGCAAGGGCAAGTCCTCCGGCTGACAATGTCCCCAATCCACGGTTAAAACCTTTGCTTAGAGTGGCACCTGAAAACCAAATGCTTCCGACGCTAAATTGCAAGAATGATCTTCATCACCTCAAAAGTTACATAAAAAACTCAGTCCAATCAAACTACTTTTCAGATCTCGTTATAGAAATCGGAAACCATCCAACTAATTAATTACAGTATTGTGTTTTGTCATCTCTGAATAAATGTAATCCATTCCCCATTGCACCAGAGCCTTCATGAGAAAAAAAGCATAGAAATTTAAATCCTCCTAACAAGCAGCCTACGGGCACTCATACTTCTAAGTTCTAACCATTCAACTTGTTATTCACAAACCAAACAACACTGGGTTTTAATAAGGTTGGCATCCAGAATGCTTTGAGGGTGTTTGTGAGTGTTGCGAGTTCTTGAAAAGGCAAAAATGCTAAGTCAGAAACGGAAAACAATCACTCCTAACTGTTCAATTTGCACTTCTGAAGCCAAAACCCACAAGTTAATGCAGATTGGCAAGGACCTAAAACTATACTTTAGTGAAATAGAAGTTCAAAAAATGTTCTCAACACACACTCCCAAACACCCTCACCCTCAATGAGTGATTCGTGGCAAACAGCAATGATTGGAGAATACGATGCATATCCCCGAAAGAGTAAAATATCAAGTTTAAGAGAGTAGATACCTATGCTGAACTCAAAAACAACAACAACAGTAAGAATAGCCCACACAGAGTATTTACTGAGCTCCGCGACGGGCTCCTTGAAGAAGATGAGCAGAGATATGAGCATCAGCGCCAGGCCCATCTTGGCGGAGAAGACCACCTTCCTCGGGTCAGACCGGCCCATCTGCCACGCGTTCCCGGCGACGTTCCGGAGGCTCTCCCATAGCTCCACGCCCTTGTTCCGGAGCGCCGAACAAAACCCTAGGCCGCCGCCGCCGCAGCACTTGGGCGTATCGAGAGAATGCGGAAAACCGGGGGAGTCTCTGGGGGACAGAAGCCTCTCCCTCTCCCTCTTGTCGGCAAAGCTCTGCCGGAACGACCCTAATTTCCCCGACATTGGGGATTCTGCTTCCCTATCTCCGATCAATGGACAGAATTTTGAATCGGAATATACGAGAGAAAAAGAAAAGTGTGATTGCGTGAGGAATCGCGGTAAAAGAAACGGTAAATACTGTAGATTGCCGGCAATAATAAAGCAGTCAAAGTAGTTTTTTTTTTTTTTGTTGAGATACCAACGGTTAAGAAGTGAGAGTAGAGGATGGCTTAAATACTAGTCACTCCCTAGTTCCTAACTTCCAAAGGACTTGTTATAATTAGAGTGGAAATACCACTCATGCCGACGGGCATTAAGCTGGTTTTGACGCATCGAGAGCGTTACACATCGCTGCCCGTTCCTCGTTATTGCATTGTCATTTTTGTAGCATCAAATTTTTGATGCAAATGGGAGGCCAAAATTCGGCAGTTGGAGCCCCCCACACCGAGAAGGTATATGGTACAACCGAATGTACGGCATATCCGGGTAGTACTCATTATGAAGTAGAGTAATATTCATTCTCGCACAAATATAATTAGCGTGGCACTCATTCTAAAATAATGCAGTACTCATTTTTATACATTGGTCTAATATAATTATAATATTAATCTACAAATAATGTAGTGCTCATTTTGAAACAAAACAGTACTCATTCTCAAATAACTTAGTGTTATTCTTATGCAAAATAAAATTCATACCATAAATAATTTTTTGGTTGTACCCAAAATTGGGTACAACTGGATGTATAATATAATTTGCCCCCTCCCCCCCCAACCTCCCTTTCTCGTTATCGCATCGTGTACTTTTTTATTCAATGAATATAATTTTTTTATTTAATTAATCTAATTTTTTTAATGAATGAATGTAATTTTTTTTAATTAATGAATGTATATGTTGTTCATGAATGTAATTTTTTTAATGAATAAAATTAAATAATGAAATTTTATTCATTTAATTTTAGAAGATGTCCGATCTGATTATGATTGGATTATTTTGTTTTGCAATGTTTACAAATTTTAATCCTTAATTTTAAATGTCAAAGACACTAGGACGGAGCATTGCCTTATTTCAATTGTATTGGTTCTAATGAAAAAAGAACAAGATAGATAATTAAATTAAAATTACATTCTATATTAATTAGATAAAATAATAAAATAATGTATTAAAAATATTTTACAAAATACATATAGTAAAATGATTATTGTATCAATATCTAATATAAATTTTATTTAATTAATGATCAAATTTTATCAATTCTGTCTTGAAAAAGTTAAAACTGGACCAATATTCATATTAAGTTGTGTTTATGTAAAAAAGAGTGAATTTCCAAAATAGTATTTTCTAATAAGGTGTTTTCTTAAATTAGTCTTCAATAAGAAATAATTGCTAACTTGGTTCTTTATAATTGAGATGTATATTTAAATAGTCTCTTGTCAAAATGTATGTTAAGAGATACTCCCTCCGTCCCTAAATGTTTGTCTACTTTCATTTTTGCACACAATCCAATGCACAATATGGGGAGTATATATTAATAATCTATATGTTAAGACGAATCAAACAAGATCACACATGACTATTTTTAGACTTACACATTGAGAGAATTTGATGAGTCAAAGTGCTTATATGAACAGTTCTAAAAGTCAAAAGTGGACAAACACTCAGGGACGGACCAAGTATTTAAACTATGAATAAATTTTCAAAATATTTTTTTCAAAAATGGGTAACTTCTAGAGGAACGAACCTATCCCGTGTAGATTTATGGACTCCATTTCAAAAAATATTTACTTAGAAATTATCAATTTCAAAAAATATTTAATTATAAAAGAGCATTTCAAGAATATACTTTAAATCTATTGAACAAAAAAAAATCGAATTACATTTTATATTTAACAGACATTTTAAACAAATAACTATTTAGAATAAGTCTAAATTATAAGAATAGAAATTACTCTTGATGGGAAATAATACGTGGCTCGGCCCACATTTCCCAATTATTTACGAAAAACAGTTAAACCGGACATGTTTAATAAACTAGAGGAATAAGAGAATATTCCTCCGTAGATGCTCTCACCCTCTCCTATAAAAGGGAGGGTTGCCCTAATTGTTGAGGGGGCAAAAAACTCACCCTCTCCCCTGCACATTACACTTTCTCTCTCTAGAACTTTATATATTTTTCTTCCTCAAGAGCTTGTAGCTCCACCATTAATGGCTTCCGAGCCCGTTTCATGTATCGTGTACACACCCCCGATGTTAATAAAATCCCCCGTTGGCAAGGTACCGCCAAAAAAGGCCCGTGGTTTCCTCCCGATTTGGGTTTCCACGTCAAATTTCCCATTTTTATATTTTGGTGTATTTTTAGACTAGTTTATCGTTTTTGCCGGGCTAAAAACGATATATCGGTCAATAATTTACACCATCATTTTGGCGCCACCCGTGGGACCTGAGCGAAAAGCCATGATTTTTTAGTTACTTCATCTTGTTCACCGAAAAGGATCAGTGGAGAGGTGTGTTGCTCAACAAAAAAAAAGAGAGGAAAGATAAAAGAGAGAGTTGCGCTACAAAAAGAGAGAGATCTTATCTTAATCTTTTTGTGTGGCTGTGTTGATACCTCCACTAAAAAAAAGGAGAAAGAGGAGAAAGTGGGGAAGGAAACAAGAAGAAAAGGGGAAGGAATACAACTGTGAGGAGATATTTGGCATCACTGCCGTTGCCACAAGAGTCCAACGTGTTGCCATAGCACCTGACCACCATCGCCATCCGTGGTCGTAGCCCAGCTTCATCTGCAGGTGAAATCCACCATCGCCGGCTCGCCGTTGAAACTAGAAGCCGGCACTGCCCCGAGGTTAGATTTGGGCTCTACCCCGGTTGTGGTCTTGTGGAGCAGCCATGACATTAACCGCCATATGAGGAATCTCCAAATCACATAAAAAAAATCAGGGGCTTATCTAATCAACACACAATAATATGGGCGGCTATTGGATTGTGTCGGCCGTGGTGATAGCGGCGGTGATGGCGTCGACGGCAACGTGTGCCCAGTTTCCTGAACTCCACCAATCCGTCGTGGTCCTGCTGCGATCCGCTGAGAAAAGTGGTGGAGAATGAGCTCCGGTGCCTCTGCACCTTGTTTAACGACAGATCGCTGTTCAAATCCCTCAGAATCAATGTCACGCAGGCCGTGAAACTCCCTGGCGCCTGTGGAATCAAAGGCGACCTCTGCGCCTGCAACTCTTCGTCTCCGGCTCCTAGACCGGCATCCTTGACACTGCCGGCTCCGGCTGCCGAAGTTTCCATGGCCGCTGTCGAAGCCTGTCTTCCCTGGCATGAGCATTGATTTTGTGGCCACCCTTGGTCCCTTGCTAAGGTCTCCTCACCATCTCCACTGGAAAAGCTTCACAGACCTACCGCCACCACCCGATGTGTCTAGTTACCGTCTGCCGCTACTTCGTGGCTGACCAACCCTGGTGGTGTGCACACCGCTGGTTCCATTTCTCCTGTGATTGGGTGCCGTCTTTGACTGCCCGCTGCTAGAGGATTCACATTGTCGCTGCTCTCAAAGTCCGTCATTGTTGCCACCGCTGAGATCTCCATTACCGTTGATCTCAAAGTCTGTCATTCCCAAGGATGTCAAATCTGCCAGAGAACTTCAGCGGCAAGAGCTACCAGCTGTGACGTCTCTCACCTGCAACCCAGCTTGCGAAGGACAATCCTCCTCCCGGTCAGCGACCACAAGACACAAGCGATCGAACTCCGTCTCAAAGCCGCGGCGGCGGCCAGATTCCGATTAAAGTAATGGTGATGATTTAAAACATTGATGCCACTATGGGAATGTGCCACACCATCACATCTACAATTCCACTGCCAACACACGCGGAGCCAAACAACAACATGCCAATGAAGAGTTAAAGATGATTGAGAAAACACAGATGGACAGCACATGGAGGATACAATCGGGCAGATTTTGAAAATGAAGAAAAAAGTGGGTACATGCTTGGTACCAATAATTAACAAGTGGACAAACGGAGATAATAATTCAAAGTAATGGATGGTGGGCTCCATTTTTTATTGTGAGCTTTTGAAATGCTCCGTAATTATTATGGTGTACACATGTTCCTAGACTCTACCAAGGATCTGTGACATATTCTCAACAAGTGAGTCCGGTTGATAGAGAATTTTGAAGGGAAGACTGAGACACAGGCCCGGACCTGGCACGCTGGTTACTACACCGGTCTTGCTCAGTATAAAATAAAAAATAATAAACCCGGAAGAGGGTATGCCTGCAAGAGGGCTGGACCTGGAAGAGGGTTCGAACCGTACTTACACGGGCCCATGAGGTTTGACCGGTGTCGGGGAATCAGCCGGCGCCGTCAAATTGATTGGGGACTAAAAGATGCCCATTAAAAGAAATAGAAAGGGATCGTCCACCGTGACGCATCCTATTTCCCCCTTCTCAGGGAAGACTTGAACGGGGGGGTGAGCTAAGGCCTTCCCGGGATGGTAGATATCAAAGGGCCATTAAAAGACTTAATCACCCGGAAGAGGGGGCCCTGGAAGAAGGGTGCATTTTGGGCCTTGGAGAGGGCTCGAAACCATCCGACATGGTTAATTCTCCAATGTTGATCTGGCCCGGCCAGCAGCATTATCATATTGGAAGACTGAGACACAGGCCTAGCCTGGCACGCTGGTTACCACACCGGTCTTGCTCAGTATAATAAAGAAAATATGTGACCCAGTCGAACTGGTACACTGGTCTCACACCGGTCTTACACATATTTTCTAATAAGCCTGAGCCCAATCGAATTGGGTACACCGATTGCACATTGGTTTCAGCAAAAAAGTGAGCAAAGCTCACATCGGGGACGCCCGATTCATTTAAGCCCTCAATCTGAGGCACTTTGATCGAAGATGGTCTCCGCGAGACATGAAGATATTTACATCAGTCAGCCGGGCTAACACTGATCTTCAACAAAGCTACCGCATCGGATTCAATTCTTATTAACTAAGGTCATTGTCATCGGTATACTAATTTCGTCACGCATCGTTTGCTTGACTCGTATTAACACCGACCTCGACGAAATAACTTTTCGAAGCATCGTTGCTTTATCGAACTGACATCGCTCTTGTTACGATAATTATTCGCGCGAATCTTAATCATCTAACACTGAGCTCCTCGGTAAAAATAATAATTTTTTGAGCATGGCATAGGCCGGTCAAAAAAAAAATGTTGTACAAATTATTTTTTGCAGGAAAAAACTTCTGATTCAAGAAATTAGAGAATTAATGAAGACTCGGAGGACTAGTAATAATATCTACCGGTCAAGAATTCAAAGTACGAAAACGGAAGATCACACTCGGAGGACTTGTTTACTTTTTTAAGTTGATGATTCTCACAACTCAAAAAAGTGGGGGACTTCTTGATGGGAAATAATACGTGGCTCGGCCCACATTTCCCAATTATTTACGAAAAACAGTTAAACCGGACATGTTTAATAAAATAGAGAAATAAGAGAATATTCCTCCGTAGATGCTCTCACCCTCTCCTATAAAAGGGAGGGTTGCCCTAATTGTTGAGGGGGCAAAAAACTCACCCTCTCCCCTGCACATTACACTTTCTCTCTCTAAAACTTTATATATTTTTCTTCCTCAAGAGCTTGTAGCTCCACCATTAATGGCTTCCGAGCCCGTTTCATGTATCGTGTACACACCCCCGATGTTAATAAAATCCCCCGTTGGCAAGGTACTGCCAAAAAAGGCTCGTGGTTTTCTCCCGATTTGGGTTTCCACGTCAAATTTCCCGTTTTTATATTTTGGTGTATTTTTAGACTAGTTTATCGTTTTTGCCGGGCTAAAAACGATATATCGGTCAATAATTTACACCATCAACTCTAAATAGGATTAAAACATTGAGAAAAGTATCAAAATAAGACTTTCATTTTTTTTTGTTCGGAAGAGAATTTTGCACTGTGGTAATATGACACTGTACATGTGCACATTACTATACTTTTTGGTAATGTACATGACCATTTTTAGTAATGTAAATGTATTTTAAGTCCTATTTCAGAAATAAAAACATGAAAATTATATTTTAGTATATTTTCAAATGTTTGGACAACAGTTTCACTCTTTTAAAAAATGACAATTTTGCTGGTTCTCATGAAAAAAGAACAAGAAAACATTGTAAAATGGAAGCCTTTAGCAGAGGTGAGAGCATGGCTCCTCCTAAGATGGCGGAGCTCATCTGTCGTCACACAACACCAATGGTACTCCGAACGCTGCAACAAATAACCGAAACGACACCCTTTCCCCTTTCACGCACACCCCAAAGGCCCAAACCAATAATAATTTTGTTTATTGTCTTCCCCTCATGGTTATTGCGCAGAGCTTCCCCATAAGTCCATCTCAGGTTCATTTCTATCTCCATCTCGTGAAATCCCTTTTTTTTTTTTTTGAAAGATTCTGTCTTTCTTCGTGTTTTCGAAGATCGTGTTGATATTCTTGATATTGGGGGATTTCATTTGGATTTTTGAAAATCTTGTGATTATGATTATCTGATATGTGTCTGTAAAGTTCATATAAGTTTGGGAATATGAATTCTTGGGGACAGGATATTCAATGGCTTTGGCACTAGCACTAATGGTTGCTTGGTAAGAATATTTAGTTTTCATTAAGTTTTGACACTCATTTGGACCACCCTTTTTTTAACTCTCGAATCCAAAAGCTATCAAGATGTTAATACATTTGGATGTCGAATGATCCATAGGTTGTTAAAATTACGAGTAATCACATGTGTATTTTCCATTTATGTATTTTTTGTCCATTGCCAATGGAGCTAAAATAGTCATTATCGATTATGTCATAGCTTCGGGTAAATAATGGCTTGATCAAAGTGACACGTTAAATGTCATTGTTTCTTACTCCATAATTTCTATCAAGTTTTGGGAAGTAAATCCAACAATGCATCAAGGGTCTAAGGAAATATCCTTTCTGTTTTTAACACGTTCGTTTTCTGTTCCATTTATGGATTTACATAACTTGTTCCCGTTTCAGTTAACTTAGTTTTAGCTTAAATTCATATCAAGTGATTCCATATACTCCCTCCGTCCCAGTGTATTTGTACAGTTTGACTTTTTCGAGTCAAACTGGGCAAATTTTGAGCTTTAATTAAATAAAATTCATAATTTATTTTATCATAAAAATGACTTTATTGGTTTTATCATATTCAGAACTTTCAAAATTGTAATTCATTATGCTAAGATGTAATATAAGTTGAGAGTAATTGGAGTTCAAAGTTTGTCCAGTTTGACTCGAAAAAGTCAAACTGGACAAATACACTGGGACGGAGATAGTAGTTATTATTATAATGCTTCCCTTGAGTTCAAATAACCAAAATTTAATCATAACTTGAGAAAGAACATACATATGTTGGTTGCATAGACTATAATTTTTTTCTTTCTTATTACTATGTTCCGTGGAGTTCATTCAATTTTTCTATGTAGTGTTGCTCTTGGATTGGGTTATACAAATGAGCTTTAGCTTTCCACCATGAACTCTGTAGCAACTCCCCTGATCAAGGACTACAGCAGACTCAACGACTCAAACATATCTATTAGCTGCAGTGTATTTGAGCCATCTTCAAGCAGTAATGGTGAGGTCCTCAAAGGAGTAAATCACCATTCTTTGTGTCTGAAATCATATTATGAATAAAAATAAGTTTGTCTTTCCCTATTCCCTTTACGTGCAGCTAAGCACCGGGCTACCGTGTTGGAATGGTTAAATGACACGATTCCCAATTTGCGTTTGCCTATAAATGCTTCCGATGAGGAACTCCGAACATTCTTGCTTGATGGTAGTGTCTTGTGTCAATTGCTAAAGAAATTGGAACCTAATTCAGTGACAGAGGTTTGTACGAATTCTTCAATCTATTTGTTAGAATATAAATAACTGTTCCTGGGCCACAACCACAAGCTTGAGCTTTTGGTTGAATGGGTTCCTTGACATGGTATCGGAGCCAGGTTGACTAAGAGGTCACGGGTTCGAAACTCAGCGCCACCCAGTTTAAAAAAATTAAGGTTTCACTTGCAAGTCTCGAAAAAGACTACGCCTGCACGTGAGGGGGCGTGTTAGAATATAAATAACTGTTCCTGGGCCACAACCACAAGCTTGAGCTTTTGGTTGAATGGGTTCCTTGACACTATTCAAGGATGTTTAGAAGATAGATTTATTTTTTCTTCTCACTATGATCCGGTAATACTTCTTTCTTTCCTTCCCATGTAGGATGTTGGTTGTAGTCATTCCTCGGAATCGTGCTCACAAAATGTTGGAAGATTCTTATCTGCTATGGATAAAATGGGATTGCCCAGGTTTCGTGCTTCGGATTTAGAATATGTAAGTCACTCTAGGACAATTCTTCATAGCTTTCTCTGGGGAGAAAACTTAGTTGATTAAATCATTGAGTGACCTAGAATATATACCGTAATGACCTTGAGAATATGAGAAGGTTTATAAGTTTTTTAATGTTAAATTGATGACCAAAATGGTCATAACGAGTTTGTGCTTCCTTAACACTCAGGGGTCTATGAAGATAATTGTTGATTGCCTCTTAACACTCAAAACACATTTTATGCCAAATGTTGGACAACACATGAATTTGAATATGCATCATGGATCCAATTTGTCCGGAAATGCTTCTAGTATACGATGGAAGGGGTTGGGAGAACATATTGGATCTGATGTTGCTCTTCCACAAGGACAAGAATCGTCTCGATCTAATTCTTCACTATCTTCTATTGATGAGAGCCAAAAGTCCAACCCAATGTTTAGGCATGCATCGCGTAGTCCTGTGGTTGCTGGTACTCTTAATTTATTTGCATCCTATTCTTTAGTTTGTATAACTAGTGATAACTTGGGTTTCCATAAATTCTTTTGAAAATATCATATATTCTGTAAGAGTAAATTCTATAATTCGTCCTTTATAACGAAGGATTTTTCATATGTAGTCTATTATCAAATATTATGCCTTTGGTCTTCTTTTATGCGTACCTTTCCACGGATAGTTCTTTTTTACCTTCTGACATGTTGGTGTTAATTTGAGGGATAAGAATGTAATTTTACATCGACCCTATGTATAATGTTGGGTTGACGGACAATACAACAATAATGACTTTAGTTGTGGACTAAGACTAAAGACGACATCTGAACACCATTGTTGTTGTAGTAGACAACGACTCCAATTGACAAATGGCGCACCTCTGGGATTGAATATGACAAGGATATATGATCATTGTGAAATTATAGCATAGCACTCAAATTAACACCAACATGACAGAAGGTTAAAAAAGGACTATCCCTAAAAAGGGACCACGGGTGTAATACTTGATAATAAATGACTAAATATGGAAAACCTCCTGTTATAGAGGACCACTTATAGAAATTACTCATTCTGTAACTACTTGAAATTAATGGTTGCACCGACCATTTATGAAAGTATAATTATTTCTATTATTCCAAATATTTTTGGATTTGTACAGCTTGTTTTACTTCATTTCTTCTGTAAACTCATCACTCTTAACTCTCTTTCCTTGTACAGATCCATCAGCTTCATTGTTGCATCAAGTTGGGAATAGATTCCAGGAAGTATTTCAGGTTAAACATGGAAGTTGTGCCAATCTGCTACCATCAAAAATTTCAGAAATGAAGAGATCAAACAGTTTGGATGTGAGTTCAACACATTCTTTTTTTGCTGTTGATGAACCATAGGATTCAAACAAATGACTTATTCTCTCATTCACTTGTTTTCAGAATGCTCCAACACACTCTCTTTTAAGTGTTGTGAATGGAATTTTAGGAGAAAGCACCCAACGGAGAAATGGAGTACCCGAAGTATGGAATTAAATATTCTTATTGACTGTATAGTTCAATTGTGTTCATATGTATCACAAATAAATATAATAAGCTCTACCTATGAACACTCTTTACTTGCTTCCACTATTAGCGTGTAGCTTTCCTGCTGAGAAAAGTGGTGCAAGAGACCGAAAGGCGGATATCTACACAAGCTGAACACTTAAGAATGGTACCCCATGCTATTGATTTGCTTTTACCTTACACTATGTTTGGTTCCAGGAATTCGAAAGAGAAAAGAAAAGAAAAAAAGAGGGAAACAAGTTTTTCTTGTTCGGCTAGAGAGGAAGAAAAGAAGTGGAAGGAAAAGTGATTGTGAGAAGAAATGAACTTGTTAAAGAGTACCCAAATCGGAACTTGAAGAGAATAAATTGGTATATAAGCTGTTGAGTTGAACTAAGTAATTGATTGGATTGAATCTTTTAATGTGGTTTAGCCTAAGTGGCTTATTACCCAATCTAGTTATCCTTACCCCATCCTAAATTCTATCAGAACTAAAGAAAAGAAAAACATATTTCATTCCATTTCTGCAGGGAAAATGAGAGAAAATCAGTTTCTTTTTCTTTTCCTCTCGAATTCCATGAACCAAACATAGTGTTAATGTTCTGTGGAGTTTAGTTGTTTAATATGTATTTCTTTTTCTATTTGAAGCAAAGTGATCTGTTCAAAGCTCGTGAAGAGAAGTACCAGTCAAAAATTAGAGTTCTTGAGGCCATTGCAGCACAGGCCAACAAAGAGTTGGAGGTAGTGTGGCTTGTTACTTTAGACATATTTTCTGTATTACATTATTAAAATAATATGTATCATCTTTTTTAATAAAATGAATTTACAGAATGAGGAGAAAAGGGTGGAGGAGAAAACGAGAGCAAATGAATATGGTGATAACCTTCAAAGGATTTCAGTTTTAGGTAAAGAACCAGAGAAAGCTTATGATGACTGCAAAGATATTACAACAGACAAAAACTTTGTGGCAGAATTGGAAAAGGGAAATGACGATGAGACCAGTGAAGAGACTGTGGTTCTAAAACATGAACCAGAAGTTGATCCAGAAGCTTATGAGTCGCACGGTTGGGAGACAAGAACTGGAGAACGGCATGATGTTGCTTTGCTGATGAAGGAAAACGCCGAAGCAAATCAAAAGATTGCAGTTCTGAAGCAAGAGCTGGAAGCAGCTCAAAAAACTCATGAAGAACACTGCGCGCAAATGAAAACCAACAAAGAAGATTTGGCAAGATTGGTGAAAGAAAAGGACGATTCCAATAAAATGATTGCAATTCTGAAGCTAGAACTTGAAACAGCTCAAAAGACTTATGAGCAAAACTTATCACAAATGAAAACCGACGAGCACAGCGTGGTTAGATTGATGAAGGAAAAAGATGATGCTTATCATGAGATTGCAGCTCTGAAGCAAGAAGTTGAAACAGTTCGAAAAACGGATGAACCGAACAACTCACAAAGGGATACAAAGGAAGATGATATGGGTACATTGATAAAAGAAAGGGATGATGCCATTCAAGAGATTGCAGCTCTAAGGAAACAACTCGACAGTGTTAAAAAATCATACGAAGAACATTGCTTGCAGATGAAGAGTGAAGAACACGATCTGGGTTCCTTGATGAAGGAAAAGAATGATTCAAAACAAGAAGTTGATGTTTTGAAAACAGAATTGGAAGAGGCTAAAAGAACTTACGAGCAGCACTGCTTGCAAATGAAAACAGACGCCGTAGAACTTCAACAAGATCTTGAGAAAAGGTTAAAGGAAATTACAATCCTCGAGGAAAGATTGAAGGAAGTTACTGAAAAGTTTACAGAATCAAGAAGCAGAGTAAATGAACTTGAAAAAATTTCAGAAGAAAAGTCTCAGAAGTGGAGCAAAGTTCAACACATTTACCAAATACTCACAGAATTCCAGCTTGGAGCGCTACGTGTATGTTTTGAAATTTCTCTCTCTTGTATTTCCAGCGTTCCTATCTTTTTTTATTAAAAGTATTTTGGTGTGCTCAGGAACTTAAGTTTTCTTCCCAATCCATAAAATCAGAAGTTACTAAAACACAGAAGATTTATTTGGAGGAGTTCAGTCATTTAGGTAAATGCCATGTTTAAATGTGTTAGAAGCAGTTTTTTTCTTACAAAGTATTTGAAATTCAATGCTCTTATGAAGTTATTATAAATCAATATAGGTGTGAAAATTAGGTCATTAGGAGATGCAGCTGCAAATTATTCTGTAATTCTCACTGAAAACAGGAAGCTACACAATGAGGTCCAAGAGTTAAAAGGTGCCACTCTATGGTTCATGAAAAAGTTATATGTGATCTGAAGAAGGATTTGATTTATCCTTTTCATTGTTGTCCTTAATGGCTCTCGTCGCTCTTTAGGAAACATTAGAGTATATTGCCGGATAAGGCCATTTCTTCCCGGACAAAAGGACAAGCAGACAATTGTGGAATATATTGGTGACAATGGTGAGCTAATCGTCATAAACCCTTCCAAACAAGGAAAGGAAGGACGGCGTTCATTCAAGTTCAATACAGTCTATGGCCCATCTGCAACACAAGGTTATGCAACAATTACCCACTTCATGCGTTTTTAATATTTATTCATTTTAACTTTCTTAAAAAAGGTAAGGCATAAATATTTACTCTCAGACTCTAACAAAGTTTGGATGGGTTTATTCATTTTAACTTTCTAAAAAATGTATGCTCATAAATTTGCAGCCCAAGTATTTGGAGATATACAGCCATTGGTACAGTCAGTTTTGGATGGATACAATGTGTGTATATTTGCTTATGGTCAAACAGGCTCAGGAAAAACATATACCATGGTAAGAAACTAATTGTATGTGATTTTCGGTTTGGTTTTATTTCTTTCATTTTAAGGTATTGCTTACCACAACGAGACCACTCTACAGACCGGCCCTGATGGAGCAACAGAAGACCAATGGGGAGTCAATTATCGTGCTTTGAATGATCTTTTCCGAATTTCACAAGAAAGACAGAGCGCTCTCTCGTATGAAATAACAGTTCAAATGGTGGAAATCTATAACGAGCAAGTTCGCGACTTACTTTCTAATGATGGCTCCCAAAGAAAATATCCATAAATGAGTGCATAATCTCTATTTTGGCTATCATCATTGCTGGCATTTATATCTTGAATTGTTTTGCTTTTTTTTTTCTTTAAAAAAACATTTTTCCAAGTTAAATTCACAATATCTAAGGTTTTCCTTAACGTGCAAACACTTGGGATTTCGACAACCTCACAACCCAATGGGTTAGCTGTTCCAGATGCTAGCATGTTTCCAGTTAACCAACCCAATGACGTGTTGGACCTAATGAATATTGGATTAAAGAGCAGAGCGAAAAGCTCAACTGCCATGAACGAAAGAAGCAGTCGTTCACACAGGTTCCACAAAGAGAAATCTAATGATCTCACCGTTCTTAAAGTTTTCATGTTTCTAGTGTATATATTGAGCTAATGGTTTCTATGCGCCCATCTCCACAGCATTTTAACGATTCATGTGAAAGGGACGGATAAGAAGAGCGGGTCAACAATGCGCAGCAGCCTTCATCTAGTAGATCTTGCTGGAAGTGAAAGGGTTGACAGGTCGGAGGTAACTGGCGATAGATTGAAGGAGGCACAGCATATAAACAAGTCTTTAGCTGCCCTTGGAGATGTCATTTCTGCTTTGGCAACAAAAAGTCCTCATATCCCATACAGAAACAGCAAGCTCACTCAGGTTCTTCAGAGCTCCTTAGGTATATTCTCCCCTCCCCCTTCCACCCAATACACTTATGCTGTGTTTGGTTCAAGGGTTTAGGAAGAAAAGGAAAAGAAAAGGGTTTTCTAGTCATTTTCCTCACCAAAATGGGAGGAATTCTATTGTTCTTCATCTTCGTTCATTTTGCCTTCTCATTTCCTTTTCCTTCCACTTAACCAAACAAGAAAAATTATTTTCCATATCATTTTGTTTTCTTTTCCCTATCAATTTCCTTGATAGTGATCTTTGGGCTCAAGGTAGTAGCCAACAGAACCAAGAACTCGCACGCTAATTCTTAGTTCTTTTTACTCCAAAGCCAAGTATTATTTATGTTTATGTCGTTGTTTCTTTTAAATGTAGGTGGTCAAGCGAAGACCCTTATGTTTGTGCAGTTGAATCCTGACTGTGTTTCGTATTCTGAATCCTTGAGCACATTGAAATTTGCTGAAAGGGCTTCGGGAGTAGAGCTTGGGGCTGCTAAGAGCAGTAAAGAGGGTAAGGATGTCAGGGAATTGATGGAGCAGGTATGCTTTAATCAATCCCTACATGTTCTGCAAAAGGACCACGCTAGAAACCCACCGCGGTTGCCCCCATGAATGACAATCACACATGATTTATACATACATCTGTGAACTCTGTATGTATAAAATCATTTGTGATTGTCACCCATGGAGGCACCCGTGGTGGGTTTTTTTAGCATTATTTTCTGCAAAATCTTGAATCTTTGGTGGGCAATGGCCAGTTCAGCAGGCTTATAGTGATTGTTTTGTATGCTTCATCTCCCTTAAATGACACACACACACACATTTAATAATTCTATTGGCAATGGGGCTAAAATAGTCATTTTTGACAATTTTTAGCTTCAGATAAACAATGGAATAAACCAAAATGACACATTCTAGTCATAAATAAATAACTGTGCAGGTAGCAACTCTCAAGAGCACAGTAGCAGCAAAAGATGATGAGATTGAGAAATTGAAGCTAGTGAAGGATCCCACAAATGTGAAGGCTTAATTGCTCTGTGCCCCTCACAATTTAGAGGTTCGTAAACTTTAACCCTTGAGAAGATATTAATATGGACTAGATTGTCTTCTTACCTGAAAATACCTAAACTGTGATAAAATATGCTAGAATCATTAAGTTTGATTTTTCTATTTGATATGTTCATGAAAATTGTTCTGTATTTTCTTGCGTAATTGTAATTATTTTCCTAATTTATTTTCAGGGTTGGGATGTTTTTCTGCAAATAGAAAATCTCGTGAAGAAAGGTAGAAAATAGTTAGTGTCAATATTTAGTTGGCAATTATTATTATTATTTTTTATTTTTTTCCCCTTCTTTTTGAATTTCCTCGTGCAGCTTTTGTAAACTTTTGGTCTGCCAGAAAATTTTCACATTTTATTAAAAAATGCTAGAGACAAACAAAAAGGTTACAAAATTCACAAAGTTGCTATTTGTGAACCTCGCAAATGGTAAGTTTGTAAATTTTGTGTGTGTATGTATAAAATCATCTATGATTGTCAAAATATTTTTTATGTAATAATTAATATACCTTGTAATTTTCATTTAATTAAACATCAAAGATCAGAACATATCATATTTGACTATATAATAACTTCTTTTATTCAAATCACAATCAATCAAATCAGTTAAATAAAGAGAAAAGTCCTAAGTTCGTTCATTAGATATGAGGTCCATCATCCATATATTAACGTTATTATAAGTGCAAAATTGCAATGTACTTAGAGCATTCATACGCATTTTATATGAACGTGCCACTATTTTTTTAAAGATAGTATTAAAAGAAAATACCCAATTAATAATGTGACTCAGTTAATTGCCCCCAATTAATTTGCATCCTCGGCATTTAATATGGAGTATTTCATAGTCAAAGTTTAATCAACGTATTTTCTAATTTTCATTACCTATATATTTGGTAAGATAAAGTAGTGTTATAATTATTTATTTTATACTCCGTAATATTTTAATTTAGGTTTTAAGTAAAAAATCACCCTAAATAAAAGTAAAATATAGAAAATATATTAAAATATAAGCTTCATGTTTTTGTTCATAAAATAGAAGTTTGGATTGTGGTATTGTGACATTATATTGTAAATAAATTTCACAATATTTTTTGGTAATGCATATGGTCATCATTGATACTGTATATGTATCTAAATCTTATCTCGGAAATAAAAAATGAAATCTCTACTTTGGTATATTTTCAATGTTTTGCTCTTACTTTAGTCATTTTCTCTTTATAGTAAATACTCCGTATAAATTTTTTGTTTAATTTTTACCTTATATTTCATATAAATTGAATTGAAAATAATTTTATATTTCATTGTAATTAATCCACAATGCCTAAATTAATTGGGACGGACGAAGTAAATGATCGACCAATTTCCTTACCTAGGGGTGGTACCGCCACCCCTTGGTACCGGTACCGGTACCGTACCGGTTCCGGTTCCAGTACCGGCGGTTCCGGTACCGGACCGTCCGGTTTCGCCTCCTTTTTTTTTTTGCTTTTTTTAAAATTTTAAAAATACAAAGTATTTTCACCAACCTCTGAATGAAGAACCAACCCGATGTCTAACGACTTCCGTGAGTTATTGTTGCCTTTGTTGGATTTGTTGCCATTGTTTTAGGTGGATTTGTTATTATTCCATGAGTTATTGAATGAAGAACCAACCTCATCTCCAATTATTGTTGGGGAATGTTGGATTTGTTCCCTGAATGAACAACCAACAACCCGATGGCCGAATTTGTTGCAGGTGCAGGAAAAAAAACAAGGTACCGGTACCGGCGGTTCCGGGACGAAAATTTGGGTACCGGTACCGGTTGGGGCGGTTCCGGTACCGGTTCCCGGCACCGGTGTAACGTACCGTGCGACGGTGACGGTAGATGGTTCCCGCGGTACCGTTGCCAGTAACGGTACCGCAGCAGTACCATGTCCAGCCCTATCCTTACCACTTACGGAGTATATTATTTCTATAGTAATTGATGAATACAACTTCAAATTTTAAAAATAACAAGAAAATAATAGTGAAGAGCAAATCTAATTTATTCAAGAATTGTCATTGCTTTGTATTTTCTCTAACAAGAGTAGAAACAAACACAATCATTTTGTGGACTTTTTTCAACACATTTAGCATTTTGAAGAGTGCCTTTTGGCACTTTATCAGCACAAGCAGCAAAGCAAAAGGTCGGATCAATCACTTCACATTATCCGGGAAACTCAATCTGGCATGAGCCTTCAACATGAACCATTGGCATCATTTTCTTAGCTACAAAAATAAAAGTAAAAATATTGTTAAATAATACTCCCTCCGTTCTAAAAAACAATTCCTCTTTCATTTTTTCTACTTCCAACAAAACACTTTCCCTTTCTATTAAAAAACCACTTTTATCCTTACTTTTTCATACCCTACCTATCACATCATACTTTTTCTCTAATAATCTATCCATCACATCTTACTTTTATCCATCACATCAGGGGCAAAATTGGAAATCAACTACTCCCTCCGTCCGGAATTGAAGTACCCATTTTGACTTTTGGTCATTTTTATTGGATGTTGACTTTGGGATGGAAATGTCCACAATACCCTCCTCATCCTTTCCTGTTATCCATTCCCTAAGCCCACACAACCACCCCTAGCTCCCAATCGCCCGATGACCCAACCCACACCACCTCTACCTGCCGCACCACCACCGTCAGCTCCGCCCGCCGCACCACCACCGTCAGCTCTGCCAGCCACAGGAGCTTTCCGAGGAAGCAGATCTGTGAGGAAGTGAAGTTCAACCACAGAGCAGCAAAAGTTCATAGAACTTTAACAAGATCTAGGTGGAGGAGAAACAGAACAATAAATTTCAAAAAGATGGTGTAGATCTGGCTGGAAAAAGAAGTAAAAGCTAGAGAGAAGGTGCCAATCGGGAAAAAATAGCGGAGAAGAAAGGAGATCGAAGAAGAAAAGAAGGAGAAGATGGGGACTAGGAAAGAGAAGGAGAGAGAGGAAGAAGATTGAAGTGAGGGAGGACACAGAGAGAAGCAGATCGGGAAAAGAGAAGAAAGGAGAAGAAGAAAAGGGGGGAGCGTGGGGGAAAGCACGAGAGAGAGGGGGGAGGAGGAAGAGTGAGTTTTGGAATTAATAAGAGGGTATTTTAGGAAGAGTGGGTATAAAAATGTAGAATGAGAACTTTATTTCCGGACGAAAAAAAGCGTAAAGTGAGAACTTTAAATCCAGACGGAGGGAGTATAATTTAACACTTCTTTATTTTTGCCCCCAAATCAAATGGGAAGGATTTTTCCAAACGGAGGGAGTAGAAACAAATATATTTGGGTCCCTTAATAATTTAATTCCACACATTCTATAATTCAAATAGATATTTACTTTATCCATCCTAGTATTTCGTATATTTTGTATTGCATATTAATACAACTAACAAAATATAATTTTAAAAGCTTTCAAAAGATAAAGATAATGAAATTATTTTTGTAGTGGTATTCATTACAATTTTTTTAATTGACGTTCAAATTTTGTTCAATTCGACTCAAAAAATTTAGGGGTATTTGGTACACTTTTTAATGTTCGGGGGTAAACCGTGCAATTTTCATAAAATTCGAGGGTAAACAATGCACTTTTCTCCTTAATGAATACATTGTGAGAGAGTTAACATATATCTTATTGACCATGGACTATTCTTAGTTCACCCTTTAGAAGCAGCTAGAATTACGACTTGACTAGTAAAATATATCATAAAATATTATTTAAAATATTTTATGATATATTTTCTCTCTCTTTCTTTTATTTTTTGAAAGAAATAAAAAAAATACTTCCTCCATTTTAAAAAATACTTCCTCTTTCATTTTTTCCACTTCCAACAAAACACTTCCACTTTGTATTAAAAAATCACTTTTACTCTTACTTTTTTATACCCTACCTATCACATCGTGGTTGTGGCCCAGGAACAGTTATTTATATTCTAACACGCCCCCTCACGTGCAGGCGTAGTCTTTTTTCGAGCCTTGCACGTGAAACCTTAATTCTTTTAAACTGGGTGGCGCTGAGTTTCAAACTCGTGACCTCTTAGTCAACGAGGCTCTGATACCATGTCAAGGAACCAACTCAACCACAAGCTCAAGCTTGTGGTTGTGGCCCAGGAACAGTTATTTATATTCTAACACAATTTAACACTTCCTTATTTTTACATTTAGTCAAAATATGAACTCTTTTTGAGAATGAAGGGAATGCAACACTTATTTTCATTTATTTTCTATGTTTTTCTCTTACTTTAGTCTTTTTTCCTATTCCTTCTATTTTGGTGAGATAAAGAGGGATCTTTCGACCAAAAAAAATGTGGTTCTCTAAAGGCGATTTCTGAAGGATACCAGCATCACAACGTTTGATGATGGCTTAATGACGAACATGTGACAAATGTTGGAATTTTTGGCGTTTTAATTGGCATTAAATGGACCAATTTGGGTATATTTGTCAACAGGTCCACTAACGGTTTTAGCCATTAATTAATGGACGTGTGTTCTCTTAAATGAGATAAATGTTTTGACAATTTATACGCCAAAAATGGTAGAGGGTGAATGAGAAATTTATTCTCAGAGTTAACCCGTTAATAAAAGAATATGGTGAGGATTGCAATTTTTGCAATTTTACTGAACCAATCTTCTTTTATTAATTTTACGTATTGTTTAAAATTAGTCCATTTTACGGAGTTAACTGGCCATTAATCTCCAATTATTCGGGACAAATTTTAAACGGAGCGTAGCGTAACGGACGTGTTAATGGCTAATTAATCACCATTAACACACCACAAATGCCATGATTAATTCCATGGGTTAATGGTGTAGGAGTTACAATTTTTTAAACTCCTTTATTATAAAAATCAAAGCTCTCTCAATCATTTTGGTGTGTGCCTTGCGTGAGGAAGAGAAAGAAAAGAGAAAACACTTTATTATTTTCTTTTAGAGAGAGCTCTTGATTTTCCGGCCAATTTTTCCGGCAACCCCTTTAAAGTTTTTGGTCATCAACGTTCCTACGTTGTTCTTGTTCGTTGGTGTGTGGTTGGTCTGTACAATCTCCACACACGATAGCGGTTTTATCCTGGGAGGAGAGTCCCACGTTTTTCCGGTACGGTAGGCGGGCACTACTACCTTAAGGACAGCTCCGGCGACTCCGCTGTCCTTCCACGGTGTTGTGTTTTGCAGGTTCAGTTCATAAAGACCTCGCCGCGTTCTGTCATAGTGCATAATGTCCTCGCAACCCAGTGCATAATGTCCTCGCAGCCCTGTGCATAACGTCCTTGAATCACTGTCCAGTGCTTAAAGACCTTGCTGTCCAGTGCTTAACGTCCTCGCTGTCCAGTCCTTAATGTCCTCGTACAACAAGGCCATTTGAAGATATAGAGATTTATTTTCAACTTTATTTATTTTGTAATATTTTGAATAAATTATAAATTCAGAATTTTATTTATTATTTATTTCCGGGGCCGTTCATCTTCCCGTCCGTTGTAATCCGTACAAGAGTTGTAACAATCTTAAGGTAGTAGTGCCATATCCGTGCGCAATGGCGGGTATGTACGGATTCGGGTTTGACGCTCACACCGGAAACTGGAGTAGTTCCGAGACTCCGGTTGTGAACGTTTCGGCTGGATTGGGTGGCTCTGTTGGGCAGACCACTCCGATCAACATTCCTTTTGGATCGAGTGCGGCCATGGGGTCCACTCCGATCACCACATTCGTTGGATCGAGCGCGACTATGGGGTCCGCTCCGGTCACCTCGGTTATTGGACCAATCGCGGCTACGGCCGCAATGGTCACTCCACTCGGACCGAATATGGCTTCGGCCATACCGGTCATTCCCTCACTTGGACCGAACACGGGTGTCTTCACATCCGCACCGGTCGGACATCCTACTGTCATGGTGCCTGCGAACTCTGTCAAAGAACCGGCAAAGTTCACAGGTGTTGGCTTTAAAATATGGCAGCAAAGGATGTTATTTTGGCTGACCACCCTCAACCTTGCGAGGTACTTGAGGGAGGATCCCCCTGTTGTGGGGGAGAACGCGGACGAGCCAACAGTTCAGGCTAAAGAGGCATGGATAGCGAATAACTATACGTGCCTTAACCTTATCCTGAATTGCTTGAGCGATGCCTTATATGCTATTTATAGCAGGGCTGCATCCGCAAAGGAGTTATGGACTACACTGTCCAACAAATACCAGGCCGAGGACGCCGGTGCGAAGAAATTCGTTGTCGGTAAGGTCTTGGATTTTAAGATGGTGGATTCCAAACCCGTGGTTAGTCAAGCTGAAGAATTGATTCTCATTTTTAATGAGTGCACTGACGAGGGAATGGGAGTCAGTGAGGCATTCCAAGTGGCGGCGATTATTCATGTGCTCCCGCCAGCTTGGGATGAGTTCCGAAGCTATCTCAAGCTCAAACGGAAATAAATGACTTTAGAACAGTTGTTTGTTCGTCTCCAGATCCGTGAAGAGGTTCTCACTCGCGAGAAGAAAGTAGCTGTTGCTAAGGCCAATGTGGTGGAGCATCCATCCAAAGAGGGTTCTTCCAAAGGGCCCAAGCCGAATAAGGACAAGAAGAAGATTGGCCCTAAGGGAGGCGTCGCGAAGCCCAAGTTCGCGGGGAAATGCTACAACTGTGGCATTACGGGCCACCGTTCTTCAGAGTGCCGCAAGAAGCCTCAGAAGAAGAAGTAGAAGAAGGAAGAAGCTCTCTGCTCGGAGCTAGATGCGATGGACCTTTGTGCTGTCGTGACAGAGGTCAACCTAGTCGGGTCTAACCCGAAAGAGTGGTGGGTTGACACCGGAGCCACTCGTCATATCTGCTCCAATCGGGCCATGCTCTTTGACTTTAAGGAGACTTCTGGAGACAAGGTGTGGATGGGCAACTCCGCCCAATGCGAGGTTCAAGGCGTGGGCAAAGTTAAGCTCAAGATGACATCCGGCAAGGAGCTTGTGTTGTATGTGCCGGACATACGGAAAAACTTGGTGTCAGGCTCACTATTGAACAAACATGGATTCCGCATGGTGTTCGAGTCTGATAAGCTGATCTTGAGCAAAAAGGGAATATTCATAGGCAAAGGTTATATTTCTGATGGGCTTTTTAAGCTTAATGTACTCACTGTTGTTGAGAAAATTAATAAAACTCCTGTTGCCTATGTTTGTGAGTCCTCCAATGTGTGGCATGGAAGACTAGGACATGTTAATTATGCATCTCTTCGGAAATTAATTAACATGGAATATATCCCTAAGTTTGACATCGACCAGTCCCACAAATGTGAGACGTGTCGAAGCAAAGTCAACGCGAAGTTCGTTTCAAACAATTGAGCGAACCACTCAGCCACTGGATTTAATTCACACGGATCTGTGTGATTTCAAATCAA